TTCCGGAAATCTCACGCGTACACAAATGCGACAGCGAGCTGTGAGACGGAGCGTCGCATGACTCTCAAATCCATGGTGTGCTACATTATTGTACAAAAGAGAGACCAGAACAATGCGCGCGACAAGCTACACGCTCTCAACAAATTCGAGCGTTTCAATTTTTGTTTGTCTCATCGCATTGCTCTCTCAATGCGACGCATGTATTCAATCACATGCGACTGTTTCATTGAAACATCTCAATGCGCTCTCTCAGGGCGCCATCGCCGTGCGCTGTTTCGCATGCTTTGACTCTCGCGGTCCCATCATAAGTGATGTTGTCGGGTGACGAGATAAGGGACTGCAAGGGTTTGTTCTCAGAAGACTTGTGGCCCTTTGCACATGTGGATTTTGAAATGGGGTAAAGTTTTTAGATGGTTTCTGAAATATCTTCTAGTATAGATTCAAGCAGACTCAACTCATGGTTCCAGAGATATACTGGAATCACCGTAAGATCACCACTAATGATCCTAGGAAGACGCAATTGCTTGTCGAAAGTATGCTAAAGGAAGGTAAAGGAAGGCTACGTGAGCGGTGGATGGCAACCTTACGGTAGTTGGGATACCGTTATCATGTTAGCACCCAAATAATACCGGAATATCTGTGGAACTATGTGTCCTTCAACAAGTCCTTATGCGGAAATCTTCTAAAATACATTTTTTGGAAGCCTCTGAAGCTTTCAGCCCATTTGGTGGAAAAATAAACAAGTTATTGCGCATTTGCACCAAATTAAACTCAGAATCCCTCAGAATACTTTTACTCAGACCAGTAAAAATATAAATGGACGATTTTGAATGTAAAACAGCACCATACTATACAAGATCATATGGTCGGCCTTAAGTCAGAAGGGACGAAGTAGCAAAATAAAAACAAAAAATGAGTTAATGATATCATAAGATCAAGAATTCCCTCAGCTACATTTCAATTTTTCAGCCAGATTTGAAAAATTAGAGTAGCACGAGAAAACGGTCAAATGATTTTTCCCATTACATAAGACACAATATTGAACAGCCAATTTTAAATTCGTTTTTCTCAAAGTCAAATAAAAAATTCACATTTCGGTCTGACTGGACCGATCATATCAACACGCTAGTAATGATAGAACTCTGAAGATTAATATTTTTATTTGTCTGGCTTGAGTGAACACTATTTAAGGGATTATTTTCAACGCAGAAGTGTAGTTTGCTGCAAAAACGTTGGTGGTGACTGCTCATTGCATACAACAAGTCTTAAAAATTAACCAAGTTTAACATGTTGTAAATGTGTTCTGTCAGATCAATTGAGTTGAAATTTTTGACACAAAACTTGCTTTTCCATTGATCTTTGTCCGATTAGCTATGCACAAATTTTATTTTTATTGTCACCTTCCAGCAGGTGCTTCAAAAAATTTGGTATTTCTTACACGTCAAATTCAACATATTTGTAGTTTTGCGTCAAAATTTCAGCCCAATTGATCATAACAGAACACATTTATAACATGTTAAACTTGGCCAGTTTGTATGAAAACGACCTTTGTCCGATCAACTTTGCACCACAGTGTACGTAGGTACGAAATGCTGGATTAAGGTTAAAGTAATAAATTTAGGAACAATTTGTGTCATATCTGTATTACGGATTGTTGCTAAGCTTCTTGCTTCAGGAATTGTATTGAATACCTGTTAATCAACAAAACTTACTACGGCAGCAACTGAATTCTTCAGATGTGTTAGCGCTCACAGGATAGTGCATATCAGCCACCATGATGCTGAATTTAAACAATCAATTTGCGACGACAGATTTCTAAATAGTCCTAGTGTTAGTACCGTGGACCCTCGGTGAAATTAAAAAAAAAAGCATATTAACGAGCAAATAAACCACAACTTGATTGTACATTTCGCTTACCAAAGCCACATCTCTTACTTCGTTCGTTATGAATGGGCTATTTTTCAAGTTAATCCTTTAATCAACGAAAATTGCCGCTAGGAAAACTTTGTTGGTCATAACCATCCGACACCTCTTCTCCATGTTCGATAAGAGTGTAGTAGCTAGGTCGCTTTCCATCGTTTCCAAAACAAAACAACACTTTGCCCACATCAAGAACACGAGTTGGTCTTCCAGTTGAGTTTGTTATTTCGATGTCGCATTGAAACGTCGCTTAGCGACGTCTCATTGCGAAAAGCGCATGAGCTTCGGCTCACGCGACGTCGCATGATACTCGTTCTCATGAAACGCATACATCCGGAAATGTGCTGTGCTTACAAAACAGTGCGACACACAGCATTATGAGAATGTGAGATGCGACAAAACTGAAGAGAGAGAAACAGAGTGCTACAAATCTCTTGCGCATGAGACTGCTATGATTATGAGACTATTCGTATTGCGTCTCGCATACGGTAGCGCGCGCACTGGAAGCCTGCTTAGAGAACGCAAATCTTCATTCAAGTGTAAAACGGCATCATCTAAATCCTTAGCTGCAATGAATAACACAGTATCATCTGCAAAAAGATTAATGTCGCAAAATCGTAAAACACGTCGCAAGTCATTAATATACATAATAAATAACAGGGGCCCTAATACACTTCCCTGGGGCACTCCAAGGGTATTCCCCACGGGACTGGAAACAGAATCATTAAAAACAGTCCGTTGAGTTCTGTCAGACAAATAGCTTTCAAACCATTTATATGCAGTACTCGTAATTCCAAAGCGCTTGATTGATCTTAACAATAAGGGCCTAGAAATTGTTTCAAAAGCGCGTTTAAGATCCAAAAAAACAGCAACAATCGTATCTTTACACTCCAAGTTATTTTTCCACTTCGCTAATACCAAATTCAACGCGGTTTCACAAGAATGACCTTCCCGATATCCCGATTGTTCTGGTATCAACAAACTATTACTATTTAAATACTCCAACAGCTGGCCTTTAACAACAAGTTCTAAAATTTTCTCTAATGTGTGCAACATGTTGATGGGACGAAACTCTTCGGCTTTAATCGTTCCAGCAACTTTTTGAATAGGGACCACTAAGGATTCCTTCCAAATTTGTGGCACATGTCCAGTTTGTATTGATTCATTAATAAGGTCCAGCAAGATGTGGCCAATGACATGATAGCAATCTTGAATAACTCTAGCATTAACATTATCTACTCCAGCCGATTTTCCTAATGAAAAACAAATAACTCTAAGTTCATCTAATGTGATAGGGTGAAAAACTTCAAATCTACAGCTACTATTAACTGGCTGTTTTATTTCGTCAGGTTCATCGACCAATTCAATAGATTGATTAATCAATGAAACGCTATCTACGAAATAATCATTAAACTTAGCTGCAATTACTTGTTCTGACTGTTCTAATGTGCCATTAAAAGTTATGGACCGCGGTTTGCAATTACTAGGTTTTAATAAAGATTTCAAATTTTCCATAACTCTTTGCTGTTGTTTTGATGCTGATCAATCTTCCTTTGAACATATTCACAACGAGTTTTCTTTATCGATTGTGAATACTTATTACGCGCGATTGTGTACCTAGTCCAATGATTGTCATTATTAGATCTACAAAACTTTTTGTACAATTTGTCCCTTTTCCGTTTAAGACGCAAAAGATCCAAATTGTACCAGCTGTTCGAGTTTTTCAAAGAAACAAACTTTTGCTCAACTAGTTGATTGGTACACGTTTTCAAAGCGTTATTAAGAACAGCTGTAGATTCATCTAAGTTACCGGCCGCGAATGGAAAATCCAGGCTTCTCTCAACAAGATTCGAAACAGCTTGCTTCGAATATTTCCTCCAGCACTTCAATTTTACAAAATTATCGTTATCGTTAACATGGTCTAGGACATTAATCACTAAAGTCTCATGATCGGTTATTTTCAAATCAGTATCCGTAACTGAACAAATGGAATCAAAATTGGAATAAACGTGGTCAATTAAAGTTCTACTGTGCCTGGAAATACGCGTATACTCATTTACCGTTTGCTTTAAATTAAAAAAACTCAGCTAAACGCTTCAAATGATTCGAATTATGGTTATCACGCCAATTAATATTAAAATCACCAGCCAATATATTTAATTTACTAGAATCAAGGAATGTCTCAAACCAGTTCTCTAAAACTTCAACAAAACGCTGGTCACTAGAACTGGGAGAATGATACAAAACACCATAATTACCCATCTTCATGCCACGTACAACTGTAATGCCCAAGAACCAGTTGCCATCAATAACTTCGTTGGTACGAAGGTTGAATTGAACTGATTCTTTGACATAAATAGTGGCGGTGTGTGTCTAGAATGTGATAAACAAGCAGCAACAATATATCCCGGAATACTATACTGATCAAAAGCTTCAGTTTCTACAATATGAGTTTCAGATAAGAAAACTAAAAGAGGACGTTTTTCCTCAACAATCTGACGTAATGCTACGTAGTTTGTTGACAACCCCGCAATATTCAAGTATAAAAAATCGAATTGATTCACATTCCTGGAACTTGGCTGCTATTTATTGAAACGCAAGCTGCTTTTCTTCTGATCAAAAAGTCTTTTATAAAGCAAACATTCCGAGCTAAATGCGGCATGGTTGACGTCCAAGGTAATTTTTCGTTCTTTATTCATTTTCAAACAATTAATACATTTCAATACAGTTGACGTACACTCCGACGTTTTGTGTTGTTGGCTGCACCTAGAGCATCTATCACAATTTTTGCAATCCATGCTCTTGTGCCCAAATTCTCCACATTTGAAGCATCTCAACACATTAATCGCGGGAACTATCGAGCACCGATCAAACCCTACATTTACTTTTTTTCGCACATAACAAACATTTATAAGTATCGACATCGACTTCAATTACAACACTAAACTTGTTATAAGTGAAGCGTGGATTTTCAAACATGTTCACTACTTTAACATCATTTATAGCGATGTCTTCATTTTGACTTTTTAAGTAGTCAATGAAGACATCGGAGGAAAACTGATCGACATGACGACACTTACCGTAAAGCAAAAAACTTTCTCCATCTGGTTCTTCAGTTCCGGATTTTCGATCACTGTGAAACGCTCAGCGAATGGATCCAAACACAGACGGCACCCGTAGGATATGGGGTCCATTGTTGATACACTAGAATAACTGAAAGTATTCACTCAAACATGAAGTTATACAATTTGTTATTGAATACCTGCTATGTAATGTATATTCCTTGGTATATTCTCCTGGTAGCTTTCTCATCAACGCTTATTATGGTTTGTTTGTAAATAAAATATATCTCGCGTAACATTTGAAAAAGGCGTTTGTCCAAAATGTAAACAAACCAGAAATTGCATTTTTAATTTTCCCGCCGCTATTCAATTCATATATGTATCAGTAACAATAGTAACTGTATCTCAGTATACATCATCCAAAATATGCGAAAAGTTTTCAAAAATATATGAAAATCGATAACAATTTAATAAGCCTTTTTGTGAATCGTTCAATGGATAGTAGAAATACTCACGGCGAATAAGAACGACCCAAATTTGAGTTTAGTTCACTCATAATCGCCATAAGTGCAGAAACTCAGCGATGAGTAAAATTTGTCTCATGTTTTCCCAGGTTTTTCCAGGATTTTCCAGGGAAAAATTCCCGAATTTAAGAAAAGTAAAGATTGGATTCACTCAGTCTATTGGTACTACTCCTAGACTGAATAAAATTTTGGTCAATTTCCTCATTTTCCGGCAGATTTTTTAGGTTTTCCACAGGAAACCATGAGACAAATTTACTCATCGCTGAGTTCCTGCACTTTTGGCGATTATGAGTGAACTAAACTCAAATTTGGGTCGTTCTCATTCGCCGTGCTCAGAGGGAGAGATGGACGGAGAGAATGTTTTGAGCCAAATGAACTGTCAAAATCTGAACCAATCGAACATAAAGCCCTACAGTAAAAGTATGGACGTCTGTCAAAAGTTGTTCCAATCGAACCGTCAAAATGCACCGCTTTGCTCGATTGGAACAGCTTTTTTCAGTTTTGTGGTGACAGTCGTCCATACTTTTACTGTAGGGCTTTAATCGAACATTCCCATTAGAATTTTTCCGAGGATTTCTTATTCTTACTACATTAAATTTGAGAGTATTGCAATCGAACAGAAATTCAATCGCCTTTATGTTTCGTGTGCTTCTCAAATCCAACTAGTTTTTGGAATCAAAAACAATATTCTAACTCAATTGCTTAAGGTTCAATTTACTTTGATGCATTTTTTAAAAATTCAAAAGCAGTTTTTTTCGGCGCATTATTTTAGATTGAAAAAAGCTCGCGTCATTTTCTAAGAGGAAGAGGTGACAATAGGCTTCTTACGCACATGAAATCGGCCAATCAGGAGCTGGTTCACGTTTGACAGAAAAGTGGTTCATTTTCGCCCCCGTATTGTCGTCACCTCTTATCTTAGGTCATTTTGTGTAAAATATCAAAAGGAATCGAATAGTGCGAGCTTTTTGCAATCTGAAATAATGCGTCGGAAAAAAACTGCTTTTGAAATTTTCCAAAAAGCATCAAAGTAAATTGAACAAATCCCTGCTGCCGAATTGTACTTTGTTTTCTCCTGGGGGGGGGGGGATGTGCTGTCAAATCAGCCTACTGATCATCTTGTATGAAACTGGTTCCAAACGTAAACAAACCCTGTAGGTTTCTTATGGCTTGTTTACGTTTGGAACCAGTTATGCGAGGTAGGCGAAGATTGTTCGTATTTGACAGCCACCTCCCCCCCCTTGGTTTTCTCAGCTCATCTCTTCCTCTGATGGAGTATTTCTAATGGTTAGGCCCTTTTTGTTAAGCCGAAAAGAAATGGTATACGCCCTTTGCTAAGCCTTTTCGCAACGTCAAATAAATTCAAAACAAATCATCGGCCCCAGGTGTCCGGTATAGGTTTATTATTGTATCACTGTAACTGGCGAGTACCCATTAATGGGTGAAAAAGTACCCATTTTGTGGTAGTGTATGGACCTGTCAAAAAATGCATAAATGAAAATTTCAAATAGTGGGTACTTTTTCACCCATTTCCGAAACCTGTTCAGGGATCAAAAATGGGTACATATTTACCCATTATTGGGTGAAAAATATCTTTGTTGCACCATAACGTTGCTGACATACTTGGTTTACATTTTCGAGTGCATTTGTTCCGAAAACTACAAAAAGTGATATATATGAATAGTTTAAAGAATGGTGATCGCTTCAAAAAGCTTCAAGGTAAGAAATGCTATATGATTTGAATGATTTCTTAGCTTATAACGTTGTTAAAAGCATATTTGTTTCATTCCACAAATTTGAGTCCCATAAATACATTTTAAAAAATGGGTACTTTTTACCCAGTTACGGAAAACAATGCGTTCTGGAAATGGGTAAAAAGTACCCCATGATTTGACGTATAAGCTCTTTACCCATTAGTGGGTAAAGACGTTTTACCCATTTTATGAGTTTACCTACTTTACCGCGAAATGGGCACTTTTTCACCCATTAATGGGTACTTTCCAGTTACAGTGTACCCGTCCGGAACTGATGATTGCTAAACAAATAAATAAAAGTGTCTTCAATGGATCCGGCCGAACAGATATGCCGTTTTTGCCTGTCCGAGGAAGATCTGTTAACCGATTGCTCGCTGTACGACGGTGCTGTTCAAGTGAAGTTATTCACTATCTTCAGTTTCCCTGTAAGTATTTCCACTATGCATTTGTGTAGTAAAACATGGTTTTTGAAGTTTAGATAAAACTAAACTAAATTGTTCCGAAACATTGAATATATCCGCGATTTATAATATGGAAAGCTTAATATTCTGCCATCAACCCTTGAAATTCAATAGTGCAAGAAAACAACTAAAGTTCAAATGTAGCTTTCTTGATTTCTGTCGGTCAGCAACGCGTTTAATTTTTGGATTTTTTTCGGCTTCTGGATGGAGATTTTAACCCAGATCATATCGTAGAAACACCTCTTTCATTCCTGATTTGATTAACGAATCCATTGTATTTTGTTACAGTTCGACAGTCGCGCATCGCTTCCGTCCAACATATGCACGAGCTGCTACCACAAAATCGATGAATACTACGAATTCACGGAAGAAGTTCGCCAAAATCAGCAACAGCTGATAGCCCGAGAAGCATTGACTTCCCAAGTCAACATCAAGCTTGAATCAACTGAAGCGGTGGTACTGGAGAAACCGACGGTTGTCAAAGAACCCGTTCCAATCGACCTTCAGACGATAACCATCAAAGCTGAAGTCACCTCCGATGAAGTCGTCAACGAAGACGACGAGACACATGTCGTCGGCTACGATTCGAATCGATACACCGTTCAGAGCCAGGATGATATGGTTCAGTTCAAAGTTGAATTCGAAGACACGGAGCTGCAAAGCGAAGGCGAACCAAGTGTGGACCGAGTCAACAAAACCGCTGCAGAGGATCGTTTGATCAAGAATTTTTTCGGCTTGGTGTGCGAAACCTGTTCGACGCAGTTCGATAGCTTCACTCTATTGAAGCAGCACACGAGGGTAACGCATAATAAGAAACTGTCATTCACGTGCTGCAACAAGCAACATTCCCGCAGGTACCAACTGCTGGAGCACATAGCACTACACAGCAATCCGACCCCATTCCAGTGCGATTCGTGCGACAAAACGTATAAACGGAAACTCGATCTGGCGAATCATCGTCTGATAGCACACAGCGGCGAAGAAGGACGGCCCTTCAAGTGCAATCAATGCATGCGATCCTATCCGAAGCGGCACATGCTTACTTCTCATATGACCAAGCACGTTCCGATGGAGTGTGACATTTGCCACAAGGTGGTATCGAACTCGGCAACCCTGAAGCACCACAAGACTCAGGTACACAGCGATGCCAACAGGCACATCTGCGACGTATGCGGCAAGGAGCTCAGTAGCAAACACGCCGTGCATCGCCACAAGCTGCAGTTGCACGAAGCAGTCAACGAGGCGACCCGAGTAGCGTGCGGCCTCTGTCAAAGATGGTTCGTCAATGAGGAGAGCATGAGACACCACCTGAAGACCAAGCACGACAATAACAAAGCTACGTGCGATGTTTGCAGTCAGGTCTGTCCCAACCGGATAGCTCTGCGAATGCACAAGATGAGAGTCCACGTGGAAGCAGCGCACGAGTGTGACATTTGTGGAAAGAAGTTCAAGCGGAAGATACCACTGAGGGACCACTACGCAATGCATACGGGCGAGAAGCTGTACACGTGCAATCTGTGTGGGCTGCAAATGAGCTCGAGTTCCAACTTGTACTCGCACAGGAGGAAAAAGCATGCGAAGGAGTCGGCGGAAAGTAAGCAGAAAGGGTACGCCAATTCGCCGACGGAACTGGATAAGCAGTAGAGAGCGTTTAGACTAGGAAAAATAAGCTCCTTTTTTTGCAATAAACGATGTCTGGCTCAAGCTTTGTCAACTTTTACCTTAGCTGCTTTACCTTAAACCTGGTTCAGTTTGGTCATTTACCAAGCAAAACCGTTCTGTAAGCCTTATATTACAAATAAATTGATGCGATTTTGTCGTTCCGTCAACCGGACAACCACACTTGATGAACCATTGCGAGAGCTGGTTAGAAAGGGTTTAACATTTGTTTGGTCTTATGAGCATAAACAATCTTTCGAGCAAATTAAAGCCGCAATGGCAAACGCACAGAAGTTAGGATTCTTCAATTAAGTAGGCCGTACTGTTGTAATGGCTGATGCAAGTCCAACAGAATTAGGTGCATTATTATTGCAAACGGATTCGTCAGGTAGAATTGATAGAATGGTAAAATGTGCATCAAAATCTCTAACGGACACCGAGAAGAAATATTGCCAAACGGAAAAGGAAGCTTTGGCGATTGTATGGAGTGTGGAGCGGTTTTATACATAACTATATGGAAGTGAATTTGACGTACTGACGTACGATTCCACCATATTAGATTGTGCGTCACCTATCGATGAGATTATTGTTCTGGGCGATTTTAATCTCGCTGGTGTTTCGTGGAAACCTCCCCACAGTGGCTTACTCTTTCCGGACCCCGCTGGTTCTGCTTTCCATCCTGGATCAGTTAGCCTTCTCGACAGCTATAGTGCAGCGACATTATCTCAAATCAATCCCGTGGTTAACGAGAACAATCGTAGCTTAGACCTCTGTTTCGTAAGCGCTCAGGATACGGCTCCATTCATCTCGTCGGCTCCTTCTCCACTCGTAAAGGAAGTTCCTCATCATCCTCCTTTGGTTATTATTGTTGAAGACAATCACATTCGGAATCTCGAAGACATCTCCACTACGGTGTTTTACAATTTCCGGAAAGCCGATCATCGTAGCATTGCCGACCTAAGAGCGTTCACCAGATTGCATCGCACCTCCCTTGGCAGACGAACAAATTGAAGAAGCTAAATATCGAACGATGTCACTGAAACGTCACTACGTTAAGCTCAATTATCAGTTCAAGCGAGTCAGCCGTCAATGTTACTTGCATTATCTGCGAGGGATTCAAAGGAAATTCAAGTCGCACCCGAAGTATTTCTGGAAGTACGTGAAGGAGCAGCGCAGAGAGTCCGGTCTACCATCATCCATGATATTGAACGGCGAAGTCGCTTCCACTCCACAGGAAGTCTGCCGCATGTTCTCCAACATGTTTGCAAGTGTCTTCTCTGACGAGAGCTTAACCAACGAATACGTGACTCTAGCAGCAAGCAACGTTCCACTTTCCGGTCAAGCTCTGGGTGGAATTGTTGTCAACGCTGAAGTGATAACGACTGCCGCACTAAAACTAAAGCCTTCTATCAACCGTGGACCGGATGGTGTCCCTTCAGTCTTTCTGAAGAAGCATATCGCTAACTTACTGTCACCGCTACAACATCTGTTCCGATGGTCCATATCGTTTGGCATTTTTCCATCGAACTGGAAATTTGCGCATATGTTCCCTGTGTATAAAAAGGGTAGTAAACGGAACGTGGATAATTATCGTGGAATTACATCGTTGTGCGCAATTTCGAAGTTATTCGAGTTAATCATCATAGAGCCTCTGCTCTCCCATTGCAAGCAGTATCTAAGTGAAGATCAACATGGCTTCACCTCTGGTCGATCTACTACCACGAATCTACTGTGTCTGACATCGCAAAGTATGGTTGAATCGGTCACAAACAGACGTCATCTACACTGACTTGTGTGCTGCCTTCGATAAGATGAATCCCGCCATCGCGATCGCCAAATTGGATAGACTTGGGATTAGCGGAAATCTCTTGAGATGGTTTTGCTCATATCTCGCCGATCGTCAGTTGGTGGTAGCCCATGGTGACTGCCAGTCCGACATTTTCGCAGCTACGTCAGGAATACCTCAAGGAAGTCATCTGGGACCGTTGATTTTCTTACTCTACTTCAATGACGTGATTTTAGTTATCGAAGGTCTACGACTATCGTATGCAGACGACCTCAAAATCTACTTACGGATCTGATCGATCGATGATTGTCAATTCCTCCAACGTCAGTTTGAAGCGTTTGCCAGCTGGTGCCATTTGAACCGAGTCACCACTTTTACCCGAAAGAAAGAACCAGTTATGACTTTAATTTTAATTTTAAGTCAAACCATCATTGGGATCATATCGAGTCTGGTGATGCTGACACATCATCTCAAAAAGTTTCCGAGTGATTCTACTACCTTGGAAAATATGCCCAATCCAGGTTCATAAACAGAGGAAATACAGGAACATGATCCAGAAGCGAAGCATCCTTCAAGTATGCAAGATATAGTAGACGGTGAGGATTCAAACTATGCGGTAGACAGCGTTTAAGGAGAAATCGAACAGAGCCTTTGAAGTCCCATGATTCTCTTCCACACTAAAATTAAAGTAAAAGGGGATTTTAGGATCAGCCCCCCCCCCCTTCGTTTTCAGTATGTCCTTTGTAATCACACACGTAGCTGTTGGATAGCTGAGTCATGATTGGTCACCCGAGAGGGCAGCAGCGAAAGGGTTGAAGGCGAATAAAGCTCCCGGCCCGGATGGAATTCCCAACGTGGCGTTAAAGGCGGCGATCCAGACGTTCCCGGACATGTTCAGGATGGTGCTGCAGAAATGTCTGGACGAGGGTCAGTTCCCTGATAGGTGGAAGGTACAAAAGCTTGTGCTGTTGCCGAGGGATCCTGCATCGTATAGGCCAATATGCTTGCTGAATACTGTCGGAAAGCTCTTGGAGAGGATCATCCTGAACAGGCTGACGAAATGCACGAAGAGTGAACACCGATTGTCGGAGAGGCAGTTTGGATTTCGGAAAGGGAGATCGACGGTGAATGCAATTCGGACAGTGATTGACAGAGCCGAGAAAACTTCCAAACAGAAGCGGAGAGGAAATCGATATTGCGCCGTGATTACGATTGATGTGAAGAATGCATTCAATAGCGCCAGCTGGGAGGTCATCGCCAAGGCGCTCCATAGAATGAGGGTTCCAGGCTACCTCTGCAGGATTCTAAGTATTTTATGCGTCAGACACGGGGCAGAAATCGCTTAGAATCACGGCAGGAGTTCTACAAGGCTCCACGCTGTGGAACGGAATGTACAATGGCGTGCTGACGCTCAAGCTGCCCAAAAGAGTTGAGATCGTTGGCTTTGCGTATGATGTCGTCTTGACGGTAACTTGTGAGACGCTGGAAGAAGTGGAAATGCTGGCGGCCGAGGCGATAGATACGATTGGTAACTGGATGCAAGGATGCAAAACAGAAGTGATGTTGGTCAGTAACTGCAAAGCAGTGCAGCGGGCAGAAATCACCGTTGGAGAGAAGTATCTGGGAGTGATGATGATCGACGACCGGCTAAGCTTTAACAGTCACATCGAATATGCTTGCGAGAAGGCGGCGAAGGTCATCAACGCAATAGCCAGAATCATGCCGAACAATTCTGGCCCAAGCAGCAGCAAGAAGCGTCTTCTGGCTAAGTGTGTCCTCATCGATACTAAGGTACGGAGGTCCAGCCTGGATTGAAGCGCTGAAAACGTAGCAGAACCAAAGGAAATTGAGCAGTACGTTCCGGCTCATGGCCACGCGAGTCGTGAGTGCGTACAGAACCATTTCGATGGAGGTAGTATGCGTTATCGCCGGTATGATCCCAATCGGCATCACCTTGGCGGAGGACTACGAGTGCTATATGACGAGAGAAACCAGAGGCGAGGAGTACGAAAAATGGTGAGAACGGTGTCGATGGCAAAGTGGCAGCAGGAGTGGGATGCAGCAGAGAACGGTAGATGGACACCCAGGCTAATACCGATTCTTTCGACCTGGGTGAACAGGAAGCATGGAGAAGTCAACTTCAACTTGACGCAGTGTTCCTGTCTGGTCATGGCTGCTTCAGGAAGTACCTGCATCTGTCCGGAGTGTGGGAATGTGGAAGAATCACCATAGCACGTGGTATTCGAATGTCCTAGATTTGATGCTGTGCGAGAGGAGATGCTCGCCCTTAGCACGGAGAATGTCGTCGAAGAAATGTGTCGAGAGGAGGGCACCTTTAACGCCGTCAGCAGAGCAGTAACGCAGATCATGTCAGTAGTAATGTGCTCACACAAGTGCGAACTGAAAGCCGAAGCCGGGAGAACTCTCCGCCAGAGTAGGCTGAATCCACCACCGGGGATAACCGAGTAGAACGTGACGCTGGGAGCTAAATGGCTCACAATTTGGAGAGACGATCAGCGAACTGCAAGCGCCAATTAGCTGAGGTAAAGTGAGGTGCGTAATGCACGGCCCCCTCCGAAGTAATACGACAAGTGGTTCCGGAGGAAAAGGCGTCCAAGGAGGTTTTAGTGCGGTAAGAATCCCACACACCGTGTCACCGCGACTGTGCGCCCAGTCGTCAAGCGGTGGCACGATGCCCTTTTTGAAGGTTTCCTCTTTGAGAGAGAGGAGAGAGGAGAGCGCTAAGTGTAGTGCACGCAAAAGAAGGGACTGAGAAGTGATTTAAATAAATACTGTTATAATTAGCTAAATTTGAGTTTAAATTTTTGTTCGAACCCTGCGCAAGTACATCGAGTTGAGCACGTTTCTTCGGGACCTTCTGGTCTATCTCTATGCTAACACCATCTGATGAGCTTACTACCCATGATAGTGTACTCAACAGATGGTGATAGTATTTTAGTGATGATGTTATAAGTGAAAAATATTCAATGCGTTATATCTGTTTGTCTGTGTTTTTGGTTCTTTTGTTGTATCTGTGATGTTGACTGCTGTATCAAGAAACAAAAGCAAATACTGTATTTAACGATTAGTTTATTCACGAGCAACTCCAAAAGTGGCGTCGAATAAACAAGTAGTTGATGTCCTCACCAAAGCGGCGCCACCCCCGAAATTATTTAAAGCTAGGGAATCTTTGGGAGTTCACAAATTCTAGCCTAAAACAAAATATTACCATACATTGTCTACAGAATCCTTGAAACATGGCACGAGACATGTAACCGAAACATCAGACTGAAAACCAGAACCTCCATCAACATCAAGTTACAATTTCCCAAAACTTTCAGATATGAGTTATCATTTCGGCACAAAGAACATCTCGATCTGAGTCTCCATATTTAGTCCATATCTGCACTTTTACTTCGCTCACCTTAACTAACGCCCTCTAGGAAGCATTCGCTTCCGCCGCTCGCATTTTCCTCTCCGCCCATTCCTGTGGATGTTTCTGCTTTACGTGTACGTACAGGTTGGCCCTGGAGTTTTTCGTTATCCCACAGTAGTCACAGGAATACAAAACCTCTCCGGTGTGGGTCGTCCGGTGTTCCTACGAGATTGATCAGTTATCTTTACAGTCATGACAGTATCTATGCGAAATTGAAACCTTCAGATTGAACGACTGCTTGAACCGCTTCCCGCAGAACTCGCACTCGAACTTCTCCTCCACGTGCACGCCCCGCTTGTGCTTCTTCATGGCCCGCTCGTTCGGATAGTTCTGGTGGCACACGTCACACGGGAACTCCCGTCCCTTCTGGTTGTGTGTATACTCGATGTGGTTCTGCAAGTTGCGCTCGCCTCGGTACCACTTACGGCAAACGTGACACTGCAGCTTCTGCACCTCGATTCCCTTATGCTCGTTCAGATGCCGTTCGAAGCAGATCTTGTTCAGGAACTCCTGCCCACAAACGTCGCACACCATGCTTCGGGTCTTGTCGCTGTGCATATTGGTCATGTGCACGTTGAGGGCACTGCTGGACGACAGAACCCTATGGCACACCTGGCACTGAATTTTCTGGTGGCCTTCCTTGTGCCGATTTAGGTAGCACTTCTTCGGGAAGGATTTTTCGCACTCGTCGCATTTGAATGGATGTTCCCGATCCTCAGAACTGTGCTTGTGTAGCTTGTGCAACGATAGATATTCCAAGTTCTTGTAACTCTTGTTGCACTGATCGCAGCGGAATGCATTCGGGTTCGTGTGATAGATAATGTGGTCCAGGACGATCTTCCGACTGGTCAGTTTCTTCTGGCAACATACTAGGTAACCCTTCCGGTTGTGCTCTTTCTTGTAATGTTGGTACAACAATCTATAATCCTTCTCGGCATGGCAGCATATGTCGCAAACCATTCGGTAATGCTCCTGGATCTGTCGTTCTTCCTGAATCTTCTCTTCAAGCGATTTAGGTGGCCTGTTGCATTTCCGCTTTGGTCGCAATTCCTCGTCATCCTCATCCGAGTAGTCAGAATCGGAATCATCACTCGGTGTCTTGCTGCGTCTTCGTTTTCGCTTCCGTGAGCTTCTGGTTGTTTTGGTCGGAGGCTTATAGGAATCGTCACTTGCACATTGATTTTCTGCCTCTTCTTCGGATTCCTCTTTGAGTTCTGTCTTCTCGTGCACTTCATCCGAACCGTCCTCGGAATCGCTGCCCGGCTGAGTTGGTTCCCATTTTACACGCCCGAGAACTTCCTTGCTATCGCCACCCGACGGATCGTCAACAATTCCTTCTGTACATCCGATCAGAAATTCCTGATTTTGACGAACCCGCTCCGAGTACTTGTAGAACTCGGAAATGGTATACGAGCAGGTCTGGCATACACTGGTCGGACATTTCTGTTTAAGTTTGATCTGGAAATGAGGCCAGAGGGATCTATTACCTACTCTACGGAGACACACTGATTGACACACAGTACCTCAAAGTGAAAGACTTTCTCCATTTGTTCCTTTAGCTCGGCGTTTTCGATGGAATCGAAATTCTCCGAAAACGGATACAGGCACAGCCGGCATCCGGCGGCGGTAGTATCCATGTCTAACGTAGTTTCCATATCGAAAATCCCGAGATCCACAGAAAAATTTCGAGTGAAAAATCAACTTTCGTGAAAAAAAAAATTGTCTGTAAACAAATGCGAACTGTCACTGCTTTCTTTGACTTGCCTCGTCGTCAGTTTTGCGCTTTGCCTCACTCGTCCTCGCCTCGTCGCCAAACCTGTTTCCAAATGTAAACAAACAAAAGGGAGTAAAACGAGCGAAGGAAGCTTCGGCGACTGCATTTTTGTGATAATTTCCTAGTAAAATAATCAATTTGGCAAGGTGTGCCATAGAATTACGGACCCCTAGAGCGAAATGGGGACGATATCCGATGGATGTCGGCTGTGTTTGGATCCATTTGCGGAAAATTTTATCACCATCAAGAGCCCACAGTTGAAGGAGCAAATGGAAAAGGTTTTCAGCTTTGTGGTAAGTTTTTCCGTCGAAATTAAAAGACTTGTGGACGGGAAGGGCCAAATGGCTAAATTGTGTCAGATTGAATTAATTTTTGGAAATTTCGAACTTCCGAAATAAGCTTGGAATCACTTGAAAAAGTATTGCAACGCAGTGCACCCGCGTATTCACATTCTCTTTGGGTGATGCTAAGCTTATCAATATTGCCATCTCTAAATTTCTCAGACTTAACTTATCAACTTAACTTGTCATCAGATCGAATCCAAACCAGGATGCTCCACCAGCGTATGCCAGAGCTGTTGGTACACAATCTCCGAGTTCTACAAGTACTCAGAGAAAGTACGCCAGAATCAGGAACTCCTAAATGGTGACACAACTACCATCGAACCACCAACCGACGACTGCAAGGTCCCATTCGAAACCATAAAAGTCGAGCCAACAATACCGAGTGATTGCGATTTGGACGATTCAACCGTGGTATCCGCTGAACTAATGCTGAAGACAGAACTCCCAAACAAGACACCGGATCCCACCGTCAGTGATGATGATGATTCGTATAAGTCACCTCGTCGGAGAAATCCATCAACCGGGAAGCGAAGAGGTCGCCCGAGGAAACGGAAAGCCGAAGACTCCGAGTCGGAAACCGAGAAGCCGAAGAAGCCCGAGAAAGCTCCCGCCAGACCTCAGGAAGAGATCGACAAAGAAGATCAACTGCTGAACGAACACTTCCGCATGGTTTGCGAGCTTTGCAGTGCAACGGCGCCGAACTTCAATCTGCTGCACAGTCATTTCCGAAGGATACACAAACGACGAATCGGGTACGTAGTTTGCTGCAATAAGAAACTGTTCAAACGTCGGTCGCTGCTGGAGCACATCACTTTTCACGCCGATCCGGATGCATTCCGGTGCAAGGTGTGCAACAAAAAGTACAAGAACAAGGACACCCTGGACATGCATATGCTGGATATGCACTCGAACGAAGATCAGCGCCCGTTCAAGTGCGATCACTGTCCGCAATCTTTCGCGCGGAAAAATGCTCTCGTTTTGCACATGGAGAGCCATCAGAAGTTCGAGTGCTCGCAGTGTGACAAGCTGCTGTCCAGCAAGCAAGCTCTCAAGACGCACGTGGTCAACATGCACAGCGACAAGGATCGTTCGATGGTTTGCGACACCTGCGGCCAGGAGTTCCGGTCCAAGCAGTGCTTCGAGCGGCACGTGAACGAGCACATGGGAATTGTGCAGCGGTTTCAGTGTGGCATCTGCCAACGGTGGCTGAAGGGGGAACGCAATTTTCAGAACCATATCAATTTCATCCACGACCAGAAGGGACAGGTCTTCAAGTGCGACGTCTGCCAGCAGGACTATCCGAATTTGCGAGCTCTACAGAGTCACAAGCGGGCGGTTCATGCCGAGGCGAAGTACGAGTGTGAGTTCTGCGGGAAGAAGTTCAGGAAGGCGGTGGCGTTGAAGGTGAGGATGCTCGGAAGATGAGTGGGAGGAGAAAATTGAACGGTTTGTGTTTTTTTGCAGGAACACCGGACAACCCACACGGGCGAGGTGCTATATTCCTGTGAGGTATGCGGAGTGGCAAAGAACTCCAAAGCTAATCTGTACGCACACGTCAAGCAAAGGCACCCGGTGGAGTACGCGGAGAAGAAACTGAGGGCAGAACAGTCGAATGCTCCTCAGGCGTGAGTTTGGAAAGAGATGAACAAGGAAAGGGTTGTATAGATGAAATTTGTGAGTGAACTTATGTTGTGCCGAAATTCCGTGAAATTTACTAAAACTTAGTCGACTTTTGTCGAGATATACGGTCACTGAGAATAACTCAGAGAGAGGGTCACCCGCATCAGCGCGAACCTTAAATTGACCTTACCTAAAATGGTTAAAATTGTTTATAATCCCTGCTAAACTTCAACTGAAATGGTTATGGAACTTTACATGAACGTTTAATGATAAAGTTTTAACCTTAAGTATTATAGTTTTTTGGAAGTGGACCTTACAAATAATGGGTTGTTAAGAACAATTACCATTCAAAATTCTTGTTTTCTCCATACATTTTCGGAAAGGAAACTATACTAAAACCTTTTAACTTATGGTTTGAGAACATTAATGATAATGGTTATGGTAACCAGTAAGGTCCATGAATGGTTTTGTAACATCGATCAACTTTATGTGGAATATATCGCGAATTGGTTGCCTGTAAATTACTGATTACCAATTCACGATATATTTCACGTAAAGTTGAGCGATAATACAAAACCATTAATGGACCTTACTGACTACCATAACCATAACCATTAATGTTCTCAAACCACAAGTAAAAACGTTCTAATATAGTTCTCTTTCCGAAAATGTATGGAGAATTTGGAATGGTAATAGTTCTTAACAACCCATTATTTGTAAGGTCCGCTTCCAAAAAACCATAATACATAAGGTTAAACTTTATCACACAAACGTTCATGTAATGTTCCATAACCATTTCAGTTGAAGTTTAGCAGGGATTATAAACAATTTATAACCATTATCGGTAAGGTCATATGATGGTTCGCGTTTATGCGGGCACTTCTACACAGTTGTTGAGAAATTAAAAAAAAACTACAGGTACTCACCGCTGAGTTCCTGCAGTTTTTTATAAATTTCTCCATAGACAGTTAAGGGGGGGGGGGGGGGGGGGGCTTGCAGTTAGTAAAACCGACTAGCCCTACTGGCACTGATAGCATCGAATGGAATATGCAGGATTTTTCTAAGCTACCGAATGTTCCAGAAGAAGCAGAATCAGAATATTTCTACGGTCATGGCATTGATCTACTAGGTGGTCTTTGGGAAAGTGATGACGAAGAGAATCTTGTAGTGAGTGAAGAACCACAATTGCAACAAGTGCGTCGTTCAGGGAGAGCAACGGCAGGAGTGTATCTAGCGAAGCCAAGGTCATTTCGTGAAGCAGTGTCAAGCCCGCAATGCGCTGAATGGAAATCTGCAATGGACGAAGAAATAATGTCGCATCATGAGAATGGACCCTGGGAGTTAACGAAGCTTCCAGTATTCCGACGGAGAAGACATCGAGTAGCACATTTTGACTGGAGAGGAACTGAGCAAGAGTATACAGGTAGCTATAGTGCTCCGGAGTCTTCCGGAATCGTTCTCGACTCTGACCACGACGTTGGAAAGCAGGTCCGATGACGAGTTAACGCTGGATCTGGTCAAATCCAAGGTGGTCGACGAGGTGGCAAAACGTTGCTCGAGCGGCGAACTGGACTCGGTGCTCAAGATTCACGTGTAGCGGAAGCAACATTTGTGTCATTTTTGCCAACAACCGGGACACAAGCAGAAGGATTGTCCATCTCTGGTCGAGAAGCGGACAAACGAAAGGAAATCATCAGATGGCGTGATAAGCGAAACCAACCACGGGTGCGAGCAGCTCGCGAAGAAACCCCGAAGAAGGAGTATTCGTTCGCGACGAGAGGAACTGCAACGGTATCAAATTCATGGATCGTTGATTCCGGTGCAACGTCGCACATGTGTGTGGATCGGGCAATTTTTATTGAGCTGAATGAGAGTCATAAGCAGGACGTGATTTTGGCCGATGGTACTGCGAACTATGCTGTCTCCGGAGGGTGAGCCATCAATAGTAACCCTCAAGGAGGTGCTGCTGGTACCGAATTCCGAATCGAGCTTGGTTTCCGTGAAGAAGCTGACGGAAAACGGAGCTACGGTCATTTTCGACGTCAACGGATGTCGAATCTTGAAGGACAAGAAGGTGATTGCGGCAGCAACGATTTCTGGGGGACTGTACTCCCTGAAGGTACCCCAGGAAGCACTGGCCGTGAAGCACCATACGTTAAACTGTCAGCACACTTGGCACCGTGTGTTGGGGCATCGTGACCATGAAGCCGTCCGTGAGCTGGTGACCAAGGGTATGGCAACTGGAATCGAGATGGAAGAGTGCGGCTGCCGAGTCGTCTGTGAATGCTGTCTTGAGGGCAAGCTGACACGTCTTCCGTTCCCCAAGAAGTCAAAGCCAAAGTCCAAGCAACCATTGGACCTTATTCACACCGATGTGTGTGGACCCATGCGAACCGTGACACCCGGTGGGTGTCGTTATTTTCTCACCATGATTGAAGACTTCACCCGGTTTACCGTCGTATATTTCTTGAAGCAGAAGTCCGAGGTTTCCCAGCGTATTCAAGAGTACGTCAAGTTCGCCCAGACGGAATTTGGAAATACCCCGAAGATCTTCCGTTTCAACCAGGGTGGTGAATTTCGGAGTGACGTGTTGGATGCGTTCTGCCGAGCGCAGGAGATACGTCAGCAATTTACCACCACCACCTACACTCCGCAGCAGAACGGGGTTGCGGAGCGGAAGAACCGCTCACTGGTGGAAATGGCGCGCTGCATGCTACTGGACTCCCGAATGCCGTTGAAATACTGGGTGGAAGCGGTTAACACTGCGAACTATCTACAAAACCGTTTGCCGACGAAGCCGTTGAAGAAAACGCCGTACGAGCTGTGGTATGCCACGAAGCCGGACATGAGCCATCTCCAGATGTTCGGTTCACCGGCGTACGTGTGGATCCCTGGAGAGAAGAGAAGCAAATTAGAAGCAAAATCTCGGAAGTTGCTACTCGTTGGTACTTCCGTACCAACTGATTCATGGACCCGAACAACGACAAGCTGACCGTCAGTCGGAACTGCAGGTTGCTGCCATTGGACGAGGTTCGGAGTGCCGAACCTCAGAAGGGAAGTATCGTTGATTATCCATTTAGACTCCTAGAGCAACCGAAAGCTGAGGTCCCCGTTATTCCAGCAAACGTGGACGAGAGCGAGGATGAATCGGATGAGTTCGATCTACTCGGGTTCGACGAAGACGAGAGCGTGGACGTATCGGATGAGTCCGATCTACTCGGGTTTGAGACCAGCTACGACGATGCCAATGAGGAGACGTTTGTGGAAACAGAAGCGCAGGAGGAGCTTGAGGCATCCGACTATCAGGAGGAGCAAGACGTCGTCGGCGAAGTTGATGTACCAGTAGTTCGACGATCGGAGCGTACCACACAGGGCATCCCGCCAGAACGGTACCAAGACACCGTGCGCATAGCAGCGCAATATGTCAACGAGCCACGCACATTCAAAGAAGTAATGGCTAGCCCCGAGCGCAACATGTGGGAGGCAGCCATGGAGGAAGAGATGAAGGCGCATGAAGAGAATTCCAAATGGGATGTCGTTCGTTTGCCGCCAAACAAGAAGGCTATTGGCAGCAAATGGGTATTCACGAAGAAGATGGACGAGGGCGGAAACCTGATCCGCTATAAGGCCAGGCTGGTAGCGCAAGGATTCAATCAAAAATACGGAACCGACTATCATGAGGTCTTTGCGCCAGGCGCCAAGCAAACCGCTTTTCGGACCCTGCTGAGTGTCGCCGCCAGACGAGGAATGCTGGTGAAGCACGTCGACGTAAAGCTGGACAATTTTCATGAAGCAGCCGGTAGGATTCCATAACGGGGTCAAGGACAACGTACTGCATCTACGAAAAAGTCTCTACGGTCTGAAGCAGGCTGGAAAGGGTGTGGAATTAAAAATCACCGAAGTCTTGAAGCAGCTGGGCTACGTGCCATCTGAAGCAGACGCATGCCTGTTCGTAAAAACCTGGAAGAAGAAGAAGACATTCATATTACTATATGTGGACGACATGCTGATTGAAGCATTTAGCGGAGCACTTTACCATTACGTGCCTTGGAGACGTGCGACACTATTTGGGAATCCGAGTGACAAGATCCGGCGGACAGTTTTTCCTGAACCAACAAACCTACATCCAGAAGGTAGCCGAACGGTTCGGACAATCAAAAGCGAAGCGCTCGCCGATACCGATGGATCCCGGGTACCCGAATGTACAGCAGAAGGAGGAGGAGCATATGTCCAGAAACGACGAGTTCCAGAGCCTGGTGGGTGCTCTTCTATACATCGCGGTCAACACGAGCCCGGACATCGCCATAAGCGCCTCAATTCTGGGCCGTAAGGTGAGTCGACCAACGGAAGCAGACTGGACCGAAGCAAAACGGACGCTCCGGTATCTCCAGTCAACAGTGGATTGGAACCTACGTCTAGGTTCATCCGGACCGCTGGAAGCATATGTCGATGCAGACTGGGCTGGTGAAAAGACAGACCGGAAATCATCACAGGTTTCGTCTTCTGTCTTGGTGGACCAATCAGTTGAGCAGCCCGAAAACAACCATGCGTAACTCTTTCGTCTACCGAAGCGGAGTACGTGGCGCTTTCCGAAGCCAGCTGCGAGCTGATGTGGCTGATGAAGCTACTGAAGGACGTCGGAGAACCAATTCTGGCTCCTGTAGTTGTACACGAAGACAACCAAAGCTGTATTGCGATGCTGAAATCTGCCGGCGGTAGCAACCGAACAAAGCACATCGACGCTCGCTATAATTTTGTGAAGGAGTTGGTCAACAATAGTGTGATGGACGTTCGCTATTGCCCCAGTGAACAAATGGTTGCCGATGGTCTAACAAAACCATTGGCTCGCGTCAAGATGGAAAAGATGCGCCTGAAAATTGGTCTACAGCCCGCCGAGCTTGAGGAGGAGTGAAGGAGATCGAAGCAACTCGGTGAAATTACAATAATCCTAGTATGCTATAAATGTCAGTACTGCATCAATAAAGTATAGTTTAGTCTAATGTTTCAACCCAACCGGTCGTATTAACTGCCTCCTCTAAGACTAACTCCAGGCTGTTCGTTGGAAGTTCTGTGAACATTCATCGGAAGTTTTGTGAAATTTTCGTCAGAAGTAATCTGAACTTCGCGTCTGAAGTTCCATGAACATCTCGTCGGAACTTCGCTGAACTTGTCGTCGGAAGATCTTTAATCTTCTTGATGGAATTACTTTGAATTTCTCTACGGAGCTTCAGGCAACTTAAATGAAGTTCTGTGAAATTCACCTCAAAAGTTCTTTGAACTTCAGGGAAGTTTTGTGACATTTTTGTCAACCTTCTCTGAAGCACTCGACGGAAATTATCTAAACTTTTCGTAGAACATTCAAGGAAGTTCTGTGAACTTTCTGTTAGAAGTTCCCTGAACCTCTCGTCGGAAGTTCTCTGAGCTTCTCATCGAAAAGTTCTTGAACTTCTCGTTGGAAAATCTGTGAACTTCTCATCAGAAGTGATTGACTTAAGGGTGAGGACTTGTTAGTGACTTAAGGGTGACTCTTTTGGACTGGTTGGCAAATCGCCAAATACCAAAAGAGTACGCAAGATAGGCGCAAGCTGACAATGCAAGTCTGTTCATATATGACGGAAAATGGCGGGACTCTGATGGTCCGGGAGGACTCAAAGATCCTGGTATAAATGCTCCATCTAGATCATGTATAGAGATCTCCCTCTTATTAATGGAACAGTCCTACTTTGTCAGGTGGCGCCTCTCCTGCGTACTCTTCAATGAGACCCAGTGATTTGCCGACCAGCCCAAAATACTCACGATGAGACGTGATCGTTGATCAATCCGCAGTACAGCATCTTCAAAATAATCTTCTTACACGACGTTACAATGCCTATTTACCGAGTAACCTAAAACACATAGACTTGGTCAAAGTTAATCACGCCTGCCGGACCGTCACCAATCACTCCAGAGTTTTATGTTTCTTGGATAGCATCATCGTCGTGGAATGCATTGTTTGTTCTTCTAAAATTACACTGCCTTCGTTGAACAAGATAGAAGTATGTAGCACAGACAAACAGACATAGTTGTAGACAAACAGACATAACTCTCGCTAGTTGTTCATCAAACAAGCATTTAACGGCCAATTTAAAAGTATCGTAGTAAGTGTGTGGCGCGTAGTCGATTCCCTTGCGTTTGACGTTTACACACTACCGCCATCTGTTCAGCGTACTACCTACAATCAATACGAAACTAACGATTTTAAATTGGCTCACTACTTGACTATTGATTGGTCCTCTAAGACCAGAAGGTCCCGAAGAAACGAGCTCAACTTTTTTAATCAGCTCTGGTACTATCTTCGGTCCCAAGCTAATCGATTCACCCCTAGAAACATAGGAAAATCCACTAACCCCTCATTTTATCTGTCAAACTTTCATAGCGAATCAAAACAAACATAGTGTAGTACTGGAATTTATACTAGAATGGGGTACGTTAGTCGATTTGCTTGGGACCAATAAGCTAGTCAAATAGTGAGCCAATTTAAAATCGTTAGTTTCGTATTGATTGTTGGCGCTATTGTGTTTGTAGCTTGGATTCCGACAAAGTTGCCAGCCTTCTTGATATGTTGTCTTCGGTTTAAAGCTACTGTTTATGTTTGGTTGTTCCGCCTATTGCAATTGTTGGTCTAGTACTCTTCTTCCGCCTGCATAACTGAATACATTCACACCTTGACATTATTTACTATGCGAGAGAGAATGGCTGCGTGCTTTCTAAGATTTTTACCCTCTCTTGGTACTTACCGAATGGAATATTAAAATTAAATCTAGATTTTTGAAAATCTGGATTAAATCGCGTATTATCCTTGATGGAGCTTACCGATTTAAGAGTTCTTCCCAAAACTTCATTGGAATATTTCGCTGAAATACCTTCTTGTTATTGTTTATTGTTTATTTGGTTCTACATCAACAGACTGGGTTTAGTCCTAATGATGGATGAAGCAATACTAGGAAATACAATATAGTCAAGAAGTAACAAGCTGCAAAGGCCGTGAAGTTCAACTTAATTCCTAATTCTTAAAAATATATCACGATTGAAAACCCTTTGTAACCCATTGATAGCACCCTACGAACTATAGTTTGTACGACGAAAAGGTATCCTAAGGCATTGCGTTGTTACGGAGTGCTCGTGGTTGAACGTTAACGTCGATTTGTTGTAGAATAGAAGGACAATCGATTCTGCCCTGTAGAATGTCTGCCTCAAACAGGGCCCTTGTCGTATTTCTTCGACTCCACAAAGGATCCAGGTTAATTATCTGGCACCGACTTTCGTAGCTTGGAAGGCGATGAGGCAATCGTCGAAGAGCATACTACATGAATCGTCGTTGAATAGACTCTACTCTTTGTACACTGTTTTGGTAACTGGGATTCCATACAGGGCAGCAGTATTCTAACACCGACCGGACGAGGGAGTAAAGCAGTAAAGCGACTTCAAACAGCAGATGTCCGTGAAACTTTTAGCTATCCTAAAAATGAAGCCGAGCGTTCTGGATGCCTTATCGATCACGTACGAGATATGCTGGCTGTATGTGAGTTGACAATCTAAGATGACTCCCAGATCCTTAATGTGATTCACACGATGTACGTCAACGCCTTCTAGGATATAACTGAATGTAATTGAATATTTGGTTGGATTTACAACCATGCGGTTCAGTTGGCACCAATTAGCAAAAGCGTTGAGTTGGAGTTGGAGAAGGTGGCAGTCAGCGATGGCTCGGATTCGGAGATAGATTTTCATGTCGTCTGCGAACTACAGTCGTGGACCGTCGAGGACGAAATTGACGTCGTTGAAATACACAAGAAATATCAACGGGCCGAGGTGGCTACCCGAAGTGGCAGGGAACGAAGGAGGAGGATATCAGATAGATACCGTATGCGTGATAATGTTAGCACCATTGAGCAATGTCAAAATTTAAAAAAATCTCAAAAATTTCGTTTTTGAGTTTTTTATTTATTCAAAGGGGGGATGTTTCTCAGAGTCTTAAACTATGTTAATCATCGATCGAGTTTCCACTTGCTGCAATTACGGCCTCCACACGCTTTCGGAATGCACGGCAGGTTCTAATAATGTAGTCTGGAAACAGAGACTTGAGCTTACTATTGCCTGGAAGTGGTATGTTTTTGGCCAGACAATCAATTTCCTTCTTGAAACAATCGTGTTGAGCTGCTCGTGCCAGCTGCAAGCAAGCGTCGTTAATTTCCTTCGGTGTGAGTGGCCCCTCCAGTCGATCTGTACTATTTTGGCGAGCCAGGCCATTGTGCCGTACACGGTTGATCCAGCACAAAATGCGCCGAATGTGAGTCAGATGCGAGAAACGATTGAGCAGGAACGTCAGTATTTCGTGCCTACCTCTTGGCTGCAGCTCAGCGCTAGCAAACAAACTTGTGATCGTTGTCCGCTTCTCTAGTAGCTCTTCCTCCTCGATGTCACGAACTAATGATACTGGCCAATTTTCTTCTGTTTCAGAGAGCCAACTTGGGCCCCTCCACCACAGCGGATGTGTTAGTAGTTCCAAAGGCGTGATACCTCGCGAGGCGTAGTCGGCAGGGTTGTCTCTTGACGACACATGGACCAACGATTCCTGGGAAGATGTTGCAAAATCTTGGAAGTTCGATTAGCCACGAACGTTTTCCACTTCCTTGGCAGTGAAGATAGCCAATGGAGCACGATTTCTGAATCACTCCACGCGAACAATTCCACCTCCAAGTGCGAGAATGATTCCATGACCTTAATCATAAAGTCGACGAGTAGTTCCGCAGCCAGCAGCTCCAAGCGTGGCAGTGAAACTTGAAGAATAGGAGCCACCCTGGTCTTGGCCACTACCAGATTCGTTGTGATTCTTCCGTCTTGGTCGATAGTGCGTGCGTAGACGACAGCGGCGTATGCAGCTTCAGAGGCGTCCGCGAACCCATGGAGTTGCAGTTTGCCTTCAAAGCTGGGAATCCATCTCTTAATCTGAATCCTCTCGATATGGTGCAATGTTTCTTTCAACGCAATCCACTCTTCCAAAATGAATGCTGGAAGTGGATCATCCCAGCCCAAGTCATAGAGCCATAGGTGTTGGAATAATATTTTCATTCGGATGACCACCGGCGCGATCCAACCGAATGGATCGAAGAATTTTGATGAATCGGATAGCAGCTGACGCTTGGTATTTGCGCCATAGATGTCAAACGTGAGCTTGAAACTAAATATGTCATCTTGAGGCGTCCATCTGATTCCCAAAGCCTTGACACAATCATCTTCTTGGGGTAGCTTTAGCGGAATGGACTCGTCTTGAATTGCACCGCACTCCAACAATTGGGGCTCATTTGAGCTCCACTTTCGTAGGACAAAGCCAGCGCTCTCCAGAACGTGGGTGATTTCATTACGGAGGAGATTGGCGTCGTCGATGGAATCTGCACCCGAAAGCAGATCATCCACATAGAAGTTTAGGGGAATCCGCTCAGCTACCAGCGGATGTTCTTCCTTGTTGTCTTCAGCGACCCGTCGCAAAGCCGCCATAGCTTGATACGCTGCGCTCGCCTTACCGTAGGTAACGGTCAGCAAACGATAATGTTCCAGTGGCTGGTCCGGACTGTTTCGCCACACTATTCGTAGGTAATCGGCATCTTCTCTGGCAATGAGAATTTGCCGGTACATTTTCACGATGTCGGCGATAAAGGCGATCTTGTACGCGCAACTTTGTCGTCGTACTATCCACCTTCCACACGGCGTGATGGGGAAGATAGAATGATTTCTCTGGTGCAACCGCAACCTCGCTAGGCGGTACCTTCTCCATATGACCGAGAGTCAAATACTCAGTCATAAACTGCTGGTAATGATGCTGTAGTTCTGGATTGATGCTGAATTTCCGCTCCATGGCCTTAAACCGCCGGATGGCAGCAGTAGCCGATTCGCCCAGTTCTGGCTTTGTACGGTCGAAGGGTAAGCGAACTACGTATCGCCCTGATTCATTCCGGGATAGGGTGGAGTGGAAATGTTCGGCAGCCCGCAACTCGTCCGGCGTGAGCTGTTTAGATTTAGGCACCTCCTCTACCTCCCAGAATTTCCGGAGCGTTTGGTCCAGGTTCAATGATGTCGTTAAGCTGAGCACCGCACGACCTTCAGCGGCATGCGATGTATTGAAGTGGCCACCAAACAGGTAGCCGAAGACGGAGTTTTGCGCTATGGGTACACCCCGACCGTCGTACAGCTTTCCCGGTTCTAGAATGGAAAAAAGAGCTTCAATTCCCAACAAAAGATCGATCTTACCGCACTTGTTATAGCTTGGATCTGCGAGAGGTGCCTCGGCTAAGGCACCAGCATCGACTTCAAACGGTTGACTCGGTTGGTCCGGAACCAATTTTTTTAGTATTAAGGCTTCCACCACGATGACGACACGGTCGTCGAATCGCGATGATATCTGCAGCGTGACTGCTCCTGTTGTCTTGCTGGGATTCCCATCAGTGATTCCGTTAACGAGAATGTTAGCGTTGCGCCTTTCCAGGCCAAGACGTTCGAATGCTTGATTGCTGATCAGCGAGTTCATACAGGAAGAGTCCATCATTGCCTGTACTTCATGGAAAACGTTGTTTTTTCCTAGCACCTTGATGACAGCCGTAGACAGCAAACTAAGGAAGTTCACTGAACAGCTGGTTTTGAGATTCGCGACATACGATGTCACAGAATTCGCTTGCTTCGGTACTTCTGATGTTGTTGTTGGCTGCTTCTTTACAGTTGCTTCATCTTCACGGAGTTGGCTGTAATCAGGAACAGAGCTGTCGTCAATTGAGCAGAGCAGCGAATGATGCTTTTGCTTGCATTGTTTACATACAACTGTCGACGTACAGTTCTTCACAATGTGGGTCGTTTTGAGGCAATTAAAACAGAGCTTGGCTCGTTGGGTGAACTCCCGTCGTTCACTCACTGGCATTTCTTTGAAGCTGGCACACTGGTATATTGTGTGAGCTTCTGAACACTTAGAACACGGTTGCTGGGTGCTTGCGTGAAAACTTTGAATGGTCTTACTTGACGATGTATTCTTCGTGTTTTGGTCCGTTCTCCGATCTTGTTCCTTCTTCGTGGTCATATCAGTTCCCTTCTTGGAAAAGGACGTGCAAGTTTCCAAGGCATCGCATCTTCGCTCGAGGAATGTGACAAACTCTTGGAAGCTAGGATTGTCCAAATCGACTAGCTTCTGAGCCCACAACGAACGGGTTTTACGGTCGAGTTTTTCCAATAACAGATGAATTAACCAGGGGTCACGAGATTAGTACGATTCACCGAGAGCCTTGAGCTGCCGCACAACTTCATCCGAGGTTGACACAAGTTTGCGGAGCCCAACGAGACTAGGCGCAGCAACCGGTGGCTGGTCCACAAATTCTTTGACAAGTGCCGCGACGGTATACTTCTTCTTATCGTAGAACTCGTTCAGCTTATCCCACACTTCCACATAGTTGGCGTCGGTGATAGTGAACGCACTAACCAACTGCTTCGCCTCTCCATCTAAGTGGGACAGCAGGTACTGCAGCTTCACGGAATCTTTGAGATTTTTCGAGTGAATGCAGCTTACAAATAGGTCCTTGAAGGAAGTCCAGAGTTTCCGCTTGCCCTTGAATACCGGAAGAGTTATTGTTGGCAAGCGCACCTCAATCGGAAGTTGACCCCCGGAAGCCTGAGCATCAGCAAACGGACGGGAAAGATTCATGGAACCTACTTGGCCAGCCAACTGTGACACGGTGTTCGAAGCTGCAGTTTGTGACGTCATCAGTAGCCGCTGTGAATCCAACAGCAACTTGATTACCTCTTTCAGATCATCCATTGGTTCGGCAACTGTACTTTCGCTGCTTTCGTGGGGGTTATGTTCGTCGAGTAGCTTGACGTAGCGCCCTTTTAATTGATAGTACATTTCTTCGAACTCAAACCGGTGATTGAAGACCGAGTTGATTTCTTCGAGCGCTTCAGACTGCTCTTCGATTCCACATTGCACTTTGTCAAATTGCTCACAAAGTTCAGTGAGTCTGTTCAATCGCTCCTGAATCTCGCCGAAAGGAGGATTTCTTCTTTCGACCGCACTGGCGTTATTCTGCTCCCATTTCATGCGCTGAAAAAACACATCGCGACGTTTCCGAATCGCTTCCATAGCGGTTTCTTAAATATCGGCTCGAAGGTCCAATGTTTTCGGGAGAGAGCAGGCGGAACGCAATAAAACGCGGCGAACTAATTGAAACGAAAATGGACTGTATTTTACTTATATTTTACATGAAAGAAACGTGTTCTCGACCGCTCGGTCGGACGAATGAATAACTGATGATTTCCGGAAGCGGTATTTTTCTTCTATGTTGGGAGCGCGGGACGACGAGTTTGACAGCTGGTTTTGCGAGGGGTAGGACCACGCACGAACATCTAAGTTAGGCGCAGGGTTGGACTGCACGCGAACATGGTCTGTCATACTCTCCGTAATGTCGAGGTGAAACACAGAAGGCTGGAAGTAGTCGACCGCCCTGCCATGAAATCATGCTAGTCTTCGCTCAAGTGCTGCTTGAAGTGAGAGACTAATGGTTCCATAACGACCAACTCGAACAGTTTAGATATGGCACACAACGATGTGATGCCGCGATAGTTGTCGATGTTTCTTTTGCTTCCCTTCTTATGCACTGGAAACATCTTAGCTGATTTCCAGCAGGAAGAAAACACCCCACTGGAGAGGACATTTCGAACAGAAGGCAAAGAGGAGCCACCAGGCTATCGATGTGTTGCTTGAGAAAGACGGAAGGAACTCCGTCAGGTTCAGACTTAAATAAACACTTCAGTTGCGAAGCCGCCCTAATTATCATAGCGAAGGTCGATGTTGATAGCTGCCAAAGATTGACCAAACATTGGAACATTACTGGCTGCTAGAGAAACGTGCTTGTCAGGTAGGTTGTCATCCGAGAATACACTCGCAAACTGAGTTGAGAACAGACGACAAATGTCCTGAGAGGATGAAGCTTCTTCGCCGTTCAGTACCATAGTCGATGGAAGGCCAGACTCCTTTCGTTGCTCATTCACATAATTCCAAAAAGTTTTCGGGTGAAATCGAAGCTTCCGTTGAACATCTCGTTGATAACGCCGATTACATTGGCGAGTGGTTCGTTGATACGCATGATTGATCCTCGCATAATGGTCCATGAGTTGTTAGGGTGTGGTACTTGGTATATTTTCTTAGCGCGTTTCTTTTGGAAGACTTTAACATACGGAGTTCACTTGTTTGCCAAGGATGATGTGCGAGAGCGTTTGGGCAGCTGCATTGACATCGGCAGGGACGAGTATCCTGTGCCAGTCCAAATTCGAAAGAAGTTCCCCGATACTGTCGTGGTCAGCATTTCGGAAATCGTTATCCCTAGAATTCATTCTAAAATGACCTCAAAATGCTCTCCATAGTTCTTCGAAGTGACTGTATCCTGAAAATCTACTCCTGTCCAAGGGACTTGACTTTTTTTTTTTAAATCCAGAAAATTATTCTACCGAAGAGAGGACGAAGTATATTTTCACTTGATTTGTCATCAAAATTCACGGTCTTGTCCCGGTGATTTAAAATTCCCACCGTTTTCCCGATTTCCCGGTTTACTGGTCACCCTGAAGACATTTAAATTTCAGTTTATGGATTTTTTCTTTGATGAGAGGGTGAATCAATAGCAGCAATATTTAGAAAACAAGATGTTTGAAAAATCTGGGAATATATCGAACATATTTAAAAAATTAACGTACTCTGTGTATCTGACAAGATGCCAAAAAATCTGGAAAAACTGGCAACGCTGCTTGTAGCAGGTCAACGAGTGACTGCGAAAAATGTTTCGACCGACTCAATCAGGAAAATCTGTTTCGCGTCGACTTGGGGAAGCCTTATTACGAAAAGCAATATTATGGAGCAGAATGATATGCAGAGTTTTCAAGAAACCACCAACACTTCACGGCTGTAAATCAAAAAAAAAAAGATAAATCACTTACCTGTTTAGAAAAACCTGCAGCCAACCGTTTTCTTTCGAACTCTAAACCTCGATTCTCGTTGGTTGTTGGAATTCTAGGCACAAAAAGACAGAAACAAGATTTAGATTCATTACTAATACAAGATTTTGATATTATTATCATCCTTATCAACTATCAATTTAAATAATACCTTATCTCCACGATCACTATTGATGCTGTTGCTGTTGTTCTGGTTCCTGTTCCAGCTGCTGCTGCTGGGACTGCAGCTGGGGCTGACCTTTGCTCATCTTCTCCTGCGCCCACTCGTACGGATGCACCTTCTTCCGGTGGGCGTACATGTTCGCCTTCGAGTTGAACGTCGTCGCACAGAACGGACACGTGTAGAGAATCTCCCCGGTATGCGACGCCCGGTGCTCCCGCAGCGTGACCGGATTCTTGAACCGTTTGTCGCAAAATTCGCACCGGTACTTTTCCTCGCAGTGCACCTTCCGCTTGTGAGATTCCAGGGCGAACTTGTTCGGCGCTTGCTTGCCGCACGTGTTGCAAATGAACACCTCGTCCGTCTGGGTGTGCTTGGCGATCATGTGCTTCTTGAGGGTGGCCTTGTTGTGCAGCACCATATGGCACACATGGCACTCGATGCTGGTGTCCTCCTGTAGGCCCATGTGCTTCCGGACGTGCTTGTCGAAGCAGGGTTTCGTCTTGAACTCCCGCCCACAGGTATCGCAAATGTGCCGGCCCTCGTCGCTGTGCATATTGACCATGTGGGCACTCAGTGACCCCTTCCCCGCGAGAACTTTATCGCATTTGGTGCATTGATACAGCTGATGACGACCCATGTGCGACGAGAGTTGTCCCTTTTGGATGAAACTCTTCGGACATTTGTCGCATTTGAACGGTCGCTCCACTTTCGTGGCGTGCGATTGCATCTTATGAAGCTGGAGGTACTCTTTCGAACTGAAGCTCTTCGAACACAGATCACAGCCGTAGAGATTCGGATTCAGATGAACCTGGATATGTTCTAACAAGTGACATCGCTTGAACAGCTTCTTATTGCAACAACGGTGATAGCCCCTCTGACCGTGCTGATCCCGGAAATGCTTTCTCAGCTCAATAAACGTTTCAGTCGCTGCCTGGCACAGTTCGCAAATAAATTTGAAATATTCTAGGATTTTCCGATCTTCCTTTTCGATCTCCTCCTTTGGTTTGTTCCTATACTCCTTTGAAGGATCGTGGCCGCCTTCTTTCCTCACCTTCTTCGTTTTCTGTGGAGATCTCCGGGTATATTTCCGCTTTGTCCTCTGAACCAGATCACTCAATGGCTTGTCTTCATCGTTATCGGACCGTTCTCCCGGTTTCCAATCGTCATCTTCATCGCTATCGTCGTCTCCACTTTCGCGACCACCTCCACCATCATCCTCCTCCTCCTCCTCCTCTTCTTCTTCTTCATCCTCATCCAGATTATTTCCTCCATCTTCCCAACCTCCTCCATCGTCATCGTTCTCCAGTCCCGGCTCGACCTTAACCAGCTCCGGGGGAATCAGTTCACCTTTGCTCTCACCAGATGCCCACTCGTCCGGGTCGTGCTTCATTTCGTCGCCTTCCTCCACCAGCATCCGCAAGTAGGACTGATTTTGTCGTACCTTTTCTGAATACTGGTGGAAGTCTCCGACGGTCGTGCAACACTGGTGGCATACATTTTTCGGTAGCTGGTCCACTTCGTCCAACTGAAACCGAAATGAATCATGAATCATCCGCTATTTGGCTACTAACCGTTTACATACAGTGAAGTTGAACACACTGGTCAGCTTATCGTGCAGGGGACTCGCCTTGATCGGAACGAACGGGAATGCCGACGAAGATGGGCCACTGTTTACGTTCGGATCCAGACACAACCGGCAGTTGTTCTGCATTTTTTCCAGGGCGGTCATTTTTTTAAATATATATTTGACACTTTTACTATTCCTTAGAAATACTGCTAATTTATTGTTGATTCGAAATTTCAATCACTTTTGTAGTGAAAAGTTTATCGCAAAAAAAAACGGGACTTTTGCTTTTCACTGTTTTGCTACCATTTTTCTTCGTTCTGTTTTGATCACCACCGCAGGGTTGCATTGACTTTTGGTTCTTCCCTAGTGTAAATAATATACAGGCTCATGAATGAAAAATGCCAAGATGCACAGACTCGTGCACAGAGGAGTACTTACATGCTAACTTGAAAGTACCCATTAATGGGTTAAAAAGACCAATTTTGAAGAAAAGGGGCTTAAGCCACTGATGAGTCAATTTTTTACCCATTAATGAGTATCTGCTACTGCAACAGTTCCCACAGCCAGTGAACTACAATTATTGCATTCATTACTGACAATGAGGTGATCCAAGAGACGTTTCTCGGTGGTACTGACAGCTAGAAATTTAGAGTGTGTGAGTGATTAGGTGTTAATGGTGCTGAATGTGAACATAAAAAAAGCAGAAATTTATGAATTCTACTGCGATCGGTCAAAAGTTCTTGGTAAAGAGAAAAGTCAGCTGATCGCAACTGTCTCGTGGACAGCCCTATATATTAGTAATTTTAGATGTAAAACATGTCTTTACTTCATTTAGGCTGTGAACCATTTGCCGAGTTAAATTTAACTCGTGGTTAAAAGTGACATTTCGAAAGTTATTTCTTATGTTCGAAAATCCCCGTGCTGTCGATCGACCGGTTTCCGAGCCACGGTCGTCAAAATTTAACTTCTTGTCTGTCAGAAGTAACCACGCTCGGATAGCAGGGTTAATCGATAACTTTTCATCTGTCAAATTTTAACCAAAAGTTAAAATAATCCACCAAATGGTTCAGAGCCTTAATACATTGTGGTTCTTAGAAAACAATTGGGCGTATTATTTTTTTTATTTTACAGCTCCGAATAAATGAGGAAGTTTAATGAATATTGTTTATTGTTTATTGTTGTTTTGCATCAACAGGCCGGATGAAGCCCCAATGATGCTAACTATAGTAAAAAATACATTCATGCATGGTCATTAGACTGATGCAAAATTTGATTGCAAATTTCCGCTCCATAGTGCTCAAACGGTTCCAAATTGGGCCCTGATTAGACTCCCAAAATTTGAACTAATTTAGTAAGAAACTGACTTGGCACAAACCATTTGAAGTTTATATGGGAATTACTATGGAGAAACCATAATTTCGGTTCATATCTATCTCAAAATTCACCAGTTCACTCTACTTTAGAAAATGATAGCTAAGCCTCGAGCTAAGCTTGTTGAAAATTTTCTCAGCTACAACTTTGCTCAAGACCACTTTTCGATCAAATGAAACGAACAAAAATTATTCAAGTCACTGATGTCTTATGGTTATGCTCATTCAACTGTTCAGCAGGCAACATTGGTGTTTATGGCGCGTAAAATAGAGGACAAAAATCATGGCTACTATGTCACATTGCAGAATACAGTGTTGCCCACAATACAGTTGCTTGATCTTGCCATAAGATTATCAATCTCTTAAGCAATTAATAACTATTTATTTTGACGTTTGGCTGAAAAACGATTTTCTGCAAAGTTGTAGCTGATAGAAATTCCCATAAGAATAGAATTTGTTAACAGTACAATATGGAAAAAGGCTAGAAGACAATGAACAAAAAGTTTTGTTTTCCCATAGTAATTTCCATATAAACTTCAAATGGTTTGTGCCAAGTCAGTTTCTTATCAAATGAGTTTAAACTTTCGGAGGCTAATCAGGACCCGATTTGAAACCGTTTGAGCACTGTGGAGTGGAAATTTCAAATTGTGCATCAGTCTAATGGTCATAGCACAAAAAACATCAAAAAATATATAGTTTTTTGCTGTGTAAGGTTGTTACGATGCGGTCGGGGTTGACCATTCAGGTCAATTTGCCTCAGAATAGCCTCGCAATCTCGCTCGCAATCTGTTCTTCCTTGTAGAATATTAGGTACTGCAGCGTGAAGTCACAAATGAACTCACTTTTAATCGGCTGAACCTTTTTGACAGTTCAGTGGTACTGTTTACAAGCAGTCGTTTTTTCAAAAAAAAATATATTTTAAATTTCCGAATTTTAACTTGAAAATTTTCGAGGAAATGCGTAATGAAAGGATGTGGCTCGTGGACATTGCAAAAGTGTGGTTTACATCTCACTGCAATCTGAAAAATTATTCAGAAAATCTACCCAAGAACAAATCGACTAAGTCCACGAAAACAGTACCACTGAACTGTCATCAGATTGAGGTTAACCCCGACGGTGCAAAACCTCATTGGCCACAGTTGAGGCTCTGCTTGTGTCTCTTATAGTCCCGAGAAGTTCTAGCTCGATAAGTTGACAACGGCTTTCGTAACTGGGTAATCGGTAATCTACGCAACACAAAACGAAGAAAGTGACGGTGAACAGATTCAATTCTCTCGGCACCGTTGTTGTAGTTTGGGTTCCAAACCACTGAACAATACTCAAGCGTTGATCGAACAAGCGAACAATAGAGAGATTTTAGACAGAATGGGAAATGGCTCTAATGTTGGCCTATGGATCTAAGATTGGGCCCATCGGCATGTATCTAGATGAACGCGTCATTGAGACGGTACTTATGGATACTTTAGGTTGCTATTGAAAATTTAGTCGATTGCTGAATTTATGTATGGGCCCAAATTAGAGACACTTAGGCCGACATTACATACATTTCCCCTAGATATCGGTGAAGTTTTTAGTTATCCTAAAAATGAACCCTAAAGTTCTTGACGCCTTATCGACAACATATGCAATGTGTTGCTTGAATGATAGCTGCGAATCCAAGATCACACCCAAGCCTTTCACCTGATGCACGCGTTCGATTGTCGAGCCAAGCAGGTCATAGTTAAAATATTATCGGTTGTTGTTTTCGTGAGAACGTAATAGCGGAGCATTTGGCTGGGTTCACTACCATTCTGTTTAAACTGCACCAACTAGCGAATGCATTCAGCTGACGTTGAAGAAAGTGACAGATTCGTATGAAGATTTTGAGGTCATCTGCATATGATAACCGATGAGCTTCGATGACCAGATGCACGTCGTTGATGTACTGTATAAAAATCAACAGTCCCATGTGGCTTCCCTGAGGTATACCTGATGTGGCCAAGACGCTAGCTGATCTGCAATCTAAAGATATGATCGAAACCAACTCAAAATACTACCGCATACCAGAGCGTAAAGTTATTGACTACTTATAGTACGTTCAGACTATAGCTGATATCATGTAATATAGGCTATCTTGCAATGAGCACTCATACATAGGATTTCCAGTGAAAACTAGATGTATGAGTGCTTATTGCAAGACAGCCTATATTACATGATATAAGCAACAATCAATACGAAACTAACGATTTTAAATTGGCTCACTACTTTAGTAGCCTATTGGTCCCAAGCAAACGATTAACGTACCCTATTCTAGTTGAAATTCTATTACTACACTATGTTTGTTTTGATTCGCTATGAAAGTTTGACAGATAACATAAGGGGTGTGTGGATTCATGCAGAACATGCAGGGGTGAGTGAAATAGCTTGGGACTGCTTGGGACCGTTGTTCTGGTACTGAGTGAGCCAAAAATAATAATGATTTTCTTCGGGACCCAGTGGTCTTAGAGTTACCTCTATGATATAAGCCATAGTCTGTACGGGGTATTAGCAACAATCAATAGGAAACTAACGATTTTAAATTGGCTCACCACTTTAGTAGCCTATTGGTCCCAAGCAAACGATTAACGCACCCTATTCTAGTTGAAATTCTATTACTACACTATGTTTGTTTTGATTCGCTATGAAAGTTTGACAGATAACATCAGGGGTGTGTGGATTCATGCAGAACATGCAGGGGTGAGTGAAATAGCTTGGGACTGCTTGGGACCGTTGTTCTGGTACTGAGTGAGCCAAAAATAATAATGATTTTCTTCGGGACCCAGTGGTCTTAGAGTTACCTCTATGGTTTTACAGCTTTTACTCTGCTCCTTTACAAAGCTGAAGTAACTAGTCGAGAAAAGTGATTCATGTGCACTATTATAAAGCATCTACTCAGCGATTTTGTTGTAGAACGGCATGTTGATTTGTTTACATCAGTTCAAAGTGTTGGCGTAGCACAGTTGTTAGTGTCAAGGATTGCCAATGCGGTCGTCTCGAGTTCGATTCCAGGTTCCGGTGCAGGGTAAAATAATTTGGTGATGACTTGTAACTAATTTCGATTAGTTTGATTTGACACCAAAATAAACACAATACATTCCTCCATAAAAAAAATCGTGAACAGTATTTTTAACCCGGCTTCAAGAGAAAGCTGTGTAGTGATTATTGGATAACCGAGAAAAGGTTGAATAAGCGCCTTTCAAGTTGACACACAGCTAAACAGCAGGATAACAGCTGTATAGAAGCGTTAATGGATACGCAATAAGAGCTTGTCCCAACTGTCCCAATAACCATAATTAGCTGACTAAGTTCGCCAGATTTGCTTGTATAGAGGTTGAGTAAAGGTTTCCTCATATCGTATAACGTTTGAATACAGCTTGAGGCTGTATAAATGAAATGAGTAAAGCGTTTACATTGTGAAAATTGTTAGTTGGGGTATCTCATTAGTGAATACACTGGCAAACTTCTCCGTTGAGTTCCATAGACGATGGGAGGCCGGATTCCCTGCGTTGCTCGTTCACATAGTTCCAAAAGGATTGCGGGTGTAGCTAAAGTTTGCGCTGGATGCCTCGTTGGAGACTTGAAAAGCATTCACGACTGGAAAGGTTTGCGCTGCAGCCTCAACGTCATCTGGATCAAGAATGTTCTCCCCTACCATACTAGACAATACATCTTTGATGCTAAGGTGGCCAGTAAACAGATGCAAAATTTGAAATTTTTGCTCCACAGTGTTCAAATGGTTTCAAATCAGGTCCAGATTAGCCTCCGAAAGTTTAAACTCATTTGATAAGAAACTGACTTGGCACAAACCATTTGAAGTTTTTATGGAAATTACTATGGGAAAACAAAACTTTTTGTTCATTGTCTTCTAGCCTTTTTACACATTGTACTGTTAACAAATTCTATTACTATTCTTATGGGAATTTTCACCAGCTACAACTTTGCAGAAAATCATTTTTCAGCCAAACGTCAAATTAAATAGTTATTAATTGTTTAAGAGATCGATAATCTTATGGCAAGATTAAGCAAATGTGTTGTGGGCAACACGGTATTCTGCAGTGTGACATAGTAGCCATGATTTTTGTCCTCTATTCTACGCGCCAGAAATACCAATGTTGCCTGCGGAACAGTTGATTGAGCTTAATCATAAGACATCATTCCTTACATCGTTCCTTACATTTGATCGAAAAGTGGTCTTCAACAAAGTTGTAGCTGAGAAAATTTTCAACAAGGTCAGCTATCATTTTTTAAAGTAGAGTGAACTGGTGAGTTTTGAGATAGATATAAACCGAAATTATGGTTTCTTCATAGTAATTCCCATATAAACTTCAAATGGTTTGTGCCAAGTCAGTTTCTCACTAAATGAGTTCAAATTTTGGCTAATCAGAACCCAATTTGGAACCGTTTGAGCACTGTGGAGCGAAAACTTCAAATTTTGCATCAGTCTAGTGGTCAGCTATACGGAAGTCATAAGAAACCTTAGCAGGATAATCGTCGAAATCACGCACGAGTTTGTCCTCTACAGTGACACTTAGAGGAGGGAGATGTGGAAATAGCTTAGTTAGTGCGCAACGAGCCTTTACTTTATAATGTTTTCTAACTTGAATCGCATTAGAAGGGCAAATGGTCTTCAACGAATTTTTCTCCATTGCTCGTCAGCAAGTCCTCATCAGTTGGCAACAAAAATAGAATGACGGTGAATTGGGAGGTTACATTCTATTCTCCCACTCGTGTTTATTTCAGTTACTGTTGGGACGTAATTTGTGATTAGACCCGGTCCCTTTCAAATTGTACCATTATTTATGTACGGTCCTTATATTTGAAATGACGTTTCACATTCATCTACACTCAAAAAATAAATCACATTTCCGATGGAAAATATCCATTAGAATTTCACATAACTTTCGTTTGATCTCATAATTAGCAATCGCTCCACGAAATCACATGAACCTTATGTGTCCAATGAAGTTTATGTGATTTATCACAAAGAATTCATGTGATCTTATGAATGTTATGTGAATTTCAGATAAAAATCATTAATTTTGTTATTGGACAAATATCATGTGCCTTCCCAATGGAAACTATCCAGTTTTCCATGCTCGGTAATGGTGGCCTGTTTGGATGAATAAATGTATCCTTCACTGTGCTTTTTGACACTAACTGGAGGGCGTATGTTGTTCTATTTTCTTCTGTTCCTGGAAGAGGGAAAGGGAGGGGTCAAATTCCGAACCTCCAGATAGCACAGTGAAGGATACATTTATTCATACAAACAGGCCGCCATTACCGAGCATGGAAAGCTGGATATGAAAACTTTTTTCAGTGTAGTGATGGCCGATTTTCATTCGGATAATCGATTAGTCGATTAACGAACCGAACAGTAAAATATTTGTAATCGGTTATATCATGCCGATATAAGCATTAACTTCTGCAGAGGATCATCACCGATCGTTTCAAACAAGTGTTGCACTCTCATTGATGAAAAAATGACAGCACAGCAAACAAAAAATAATCGATTAGTTGTTAATCGAGTAATTAAAAAATGGGACATCTCTGATTTTGGTGTGATTGTTTTGATAAAAAAGCGCGCAAAATTTCATCTCTACCGAGGGGGCAGCAACACCACAAAATTACCTTGCATACTGGGGGTATTCATTGGATGAAAGGGACCGTGAAAGAGGACACTAAAATTGAAAGTTGTTTTTCCTACAGTTTCATCTTAGTATTCATCTTTGCTTTTAGTCTAAAGTTGCAATTTCAGGCTCAAAACATATCATTCCACCTAAATCTGCATTCTGGACCACTGTGCATTGATTAGACGTTTCGGTTGTGTTGTTTGACTGGTAAATGTTCAAATTTGTCGTAAAATGCTGGATAAAATGACTTTCAGACAAATGTAATATCAATGAATTGGTATTCGGTATACAGAATATCATGCTTTTTAGTACCCAAAATTGAAATAAAATAAATAGAGAAAACATTGAGATGGTTATCTGGCGGAGAGCAACTATCCGGATATCCGGATAGTGAAATTTCAAATTTGTTATCCCTTTAACAGTTTTCCTTTTTACTGTTCCAAATATTAGTCAAAAAGTTGGGTTTCACGTGCCCATGTGGCCTGATGTGGAATGGCAAATTTGTTAATCGCCGCGACTTTATACGCGTTATATCAAGGCTTATGTCCAATCACTGCTCGTTAGACTCGCACATCTATCGAATTGGGCTCTCAGGCAGCAATTTATGTGCGTGTGGTTATCACAATATCGAGCATGTTGTTTGGTCGTGTAGCTTACACCGTGTTGCTAGATCTGAGTTATCCACATCTCTCAGGGCTCTAGGAAAACAACCCGCGATACCCGTTAGAGATGTCTTGGCGAGCCAAATCTCGACTATTTGAACTTAATTTATGTGTTTTTAAAACGGATAGATCTGAGGATTTAGTAGTTAGTGTCATCTTGTGTTCTCCCAAGTTGTTAGCTGCCCATCGATACATCCCCATGTTTGTCTTTTTCATCAGAGTGTCGCTTAGTTCGAGATCAAGAGCACATTGCTCTCCAAACCTTGTGTTCACAATCCCTACCCTGCCATCCATTTGTTACAATTTGTTACCGCTAACCTCGAGATAGCCGCGAGTAATCGGCCCCCGCTTTACTAACGTTAGTTTTAAGTAATTTTGTAATCTAATCAATGAATATCGGCTCCGCAAAGCTACAGCAAATGAGCCTGGAAAAATAAACGCATTATAGAGTTTTTTGACGTTTAATCGGCGCACACTACTGTACCATTTAAAGCGAACGAGTGCGAACAAGAGGGAAACAGATTAGTGGGAAAACAAACCGTCCATTCATCCATGTGTGCTAGATAGAGAAAGATGATTAAACGTCAAAAAGGCCTATGAAAAAAAAAACCTTTTTTTTTCTTTGGTTTGTTTTTTTCCGTCGATCTTGTTTTCCGTGCTAAGCACCAATGCTACCGACGTGCCAGGAAGGCAGCTCCCACACCTGGACCCTACCTATCGACCCATCAACTCATGAACCGGGGACCAACGGCTTTACTTCCCATCCGAAGGAAGGCGTGATCAGAGATGTTATGCCTCAGAACATCCCGGCGGCGCTGACTGGGATTGAACCCAGGCCTGCTGGTGTGAGAGGTAATCACGCTTACCACTACACCACCGGTGCCGTTCAAAAAAAAAAAAACTTGAATCGCATTATCTAAAAGCCATTGATGGACCGAAATCGTCACTAAACTGAATTTATAATTCTAGATAGAGCTAGGGCGAAACAGTTTTTGTAAACAATGACTTCTCTCGATGATCTCTAGAAAGCCAAGGCTCGCTCACTCAAATCAACGTCACCATCTGATAGGGGACAACTTCCCCTTCCCATTGGTTATGTTGGTTTGCGTGAACGTGCCTTGAGTTTCGAGAAATCATCTAGAAAGTAATTGTTTACAAAAGCTGTTACGCCCTTATTCCAGCTCTATCAATTATTGAAAAAAAGCTCCATTGAAATTTCTAACTCATTTTTCTCCGTTTCATCATGATGCGAAATTGGCCCTTATGAATGAATATGGCTTGAGATTCCAACGCATATTTTTCGCACTGGGCAAATGCTCGCAGTAGGGGAAAGCCGGCTTTCCCCTTCTCGGGTTCAGATGGTGGCTCGTTTGTTATAAAGATTAGGCCTGACCGTGTGCTGCTGGTTGCCTTTTTCATCCTATTGGCCGATGACGTCACACCAGTAATACTCTACGCAGCACACAGAATAGAAAGAGATGCCGAATACGCATTACCAAACCTTCGATGAATGCCATTTCGTCCAATGGTGATGTTGTTTATGTTTTTTTCATTCCTTCTTTTTGGTGTTTGTTTCTCTACGTTTCTCTCCTTTTGCTGTTTTTTTCCCCGATTTGATCAGTCAAACGGAGGGAAGTGTCAAGTGATGATCTGTTGTTGATTTTTCATTCACCTCGCACTGCTGACGGTTCCGTTGCTTGACATTGGCAAAGGAGTGAAGAAAAATCATTAAAAATCGCTATAAATTATCATTATTCCCGTTCCGGATAGTGGAAAGTAGTACATCCTAGCGCTCGGTGTGGTAATTGGAAAATGTTTGAATCATGATTACGCTCTTCTGGTTTGTGGTGCTAATCGTCCTGATTTATCTGGCCATCACTTGGTAAGTGCTTTCTTCGTACTGATACCGTAAGAGACCCTTCGGAAGGTGTTCCCGAAAGGGGTCAGCAGCACCGTTGCGATTCGATAACAAATTAATAGGTTTATTGAGCGATAATGCCTACAAGCGAATTTTTATTGCAGGCTGCTACCGCAATGCATCGGCTACATCTTGAAGCGAAAGTTCAACATCAAAATTCGCTTCGGTCGGATAAGTTTACCGTTTTCACTGCGGGATGTGAACGTTTGCAAGAGTGGCTTCTCGGTGGTAAGTTAAATGGGGAAGAATAAGGACTCACGTACGTGCGGTTACATAATTAATACTCCAAGTTGGTCTAAATTTAGAATCCAATCAACGCAGTGGCATTAGCCTCGGCGACTCCGTGACGTGGAGGAAATGTATGAATCATAGCGTGTCTGATTTTTATCTAATCACCGAAATCGAGCCATCATTCGTGTTGTTGTTTATCGCGAGACTTAACTAAGGCATTGTTTTATTTTTAGCAAATCGATGAAATCTGTATACGCAGCAGTTTCTTCAACTCTGAAGTCACCAAACTGCTGTCGATCAACATCCGCGACATCCGGATCAATAAGGACATCAATCGGCGCCAGCAGCAGCAACAGCAGTATCCGACCTCATCTAGTCAGTCGTCGCAACAGCAGCAAAATGGCGAACCGGATCCGTTCCTCGGTGTTCGATCCGGCGAACGCAAAATTCTGGACTTCCGCGAGAAGAAGGTCCATCCGATGATCATCAAGTTTGCCCAGTTCATGGCCGTGCACATTAACAACGTGTCGATTGCGCTGTTGAACAGCGATCACGATCCGGGATGGTTGCTGCATGCTACCGCCAAGGAGCTCCATCTGGACGGAAGCCTTGTCCACAACACCAAAACGATGCTCGTTTCTGCCGCTCTCTGCGATGCCCAGGCCAAGATTCTTCGGCACTGTCAGGCAACCAAGAAGCTGGACAAACCACGCCTGGGAGACTCGCAGGCCTGTCTCGGGGAACTTAGCTTCGGTATTGCCTTGGACAGCGTCCTGGTGGCGCACGGTCCAATTTCGCTGGAAAAACTGCAACTATCCATGACCAATACCAAAGTGGTGCTCCACGGAGGCCTTTACGAATTTATCAAAGACGCTCAAAGTCAGAAGCGTCGTCACCAGATGTTCCTCCGCCAGAACAGCATCAACCTGGATCAGATCCCCACCTTCGAGGGCGAAGAACCAACAGGAAGCGAAACCTACCTCAGAATTGCACCCATCATCCCGAAGAACTTTGCAATTAACATCGAAAATACGACCATATCGGCAGTGCGGGAGAACAGCTCCAACGACTTTGCTGTCACGTTGCAAACTTTCACCATCAACGGGAAATTCAACAGCCGGAACGCGACGGACGAGTTCCGGATGCCGATGTTCTACGTGGGAACGCAACTGCAGCAGCTGGAAATCGATACCATGCAGGAGAAGCTGCTCTACCTGGAGCAGTTCAGCGTGGACGCCAAGCTGGAGAAGGACCTCATCAACGTGTACTCAAAGTTGGCCTCGTTCCGGATGATCTACCACCACAAGGAGATCTACGGGTGGATCAGTAAGAATTTCTTCTCCAGCGAACGGATGGCCAGGCAGATGAACCCGAAGAGTTTGAAGCTGGCAACGGGGATGGGTGGCAGCGGGGCAGCCAGGAACGGTGCAGCAGGAATGGGAGGAGGGGCAGGTGGTGTGTGGGAGGAGTTTTTGAAACGAGTGGTCATTACCGGCTGCGCGGAGCTGTGGAACGTGACTTCGGTGTTCAAATTCGGACCGCAGGAGGTGAGTGCTGTTTGTTGTGCATTTAATGCCTTTGCTGGAACCAGGGGTGGATCGCTCTTTGGAGCATCGTTCATTACTTTTTAATGCAGACGGCTGAAGTTAAGTTCAATTGAATTTTGAGTTCATCTATGTTAAAATAGATAGATCAATGGTATTATTCTCCCGATCAAAATACAGAATTCAGATTGAAGGTGCACCCTAGTGATTGTTCAGTGGAAACACGGTGCGACTATTTGAAGTTTGATCGGGAGAATACTAGCATTGATCGATCTATTTGAATATGGATTAACTGAAAATTTAATTGGACTTAACGTTAGCTTTCTATATTAAAAACGTAATGAACGATGCTCCAAAGAACGATCCCCGACTGGAAGTCATTAAGGTCATCTAGTGATTAAAAACAAAAAAAAAAGGGGAAAATTTCGAGTGGAATTTGAGGGAAATTCTAAGCGAAGATTTCCTTAAATTATGGCTGGAATTTCCCTCTAATTCCAAATGAAATTTTGAGAAATTTCGCCTGATATTTCCTAAAAAAAAATTCCCAAAATTACTCCAGAATTCTGTCCAAAAATTCAGCACGGAGTTTGACTAAAATTTCTGCGTTTTATTTCATACGGAATTGAAAGATTTCAAGATAAATTGTAGGCGGAATCGAAATAAAACTCCAGGCAGTATTAAATTGAAGGGACCCTCTGAAATATGTTCTATGCAGAATTTCAGGGGAATTCCCGGCGAAATTTGAGAAAAGTTTCAGGCGAAATTAGTGGTAAATTCTAAACAGAATTTGAAATTACGAAGAATTAGGTGAAAGTTTCGGGAAATTTCAAGCGGAACTTCTGCGAAATTCGATGAAAGTTTTAGGTGGAAATTCCTTCTGAAATTCACCTGAAAATATGCCTGATATTTCCATTCTGAATTACGCAGAAATTTGACGAAGCATTCCAGAGATATTTCAGGAGAAATGAAAGGAAAATTCCAGGTGGACCTTCCGGAAAATTCTGGGAGAAAGTTTAGAGAAATTCCAGGTGGTTCTGCTGACAAATTTTACGGAGAATTTCAAGAAAGTTCCTAAAATTGTTAGGCGAATGTTTCAGGCAGAATTTATAAGGATATCATATCTGATAAACAGGGTGGCCACAGAACCGGGAAAAAGCCGGGAATTTGAAATGGACCGGGAAAACCGGGAATTCCGAAACAAAACCGGGAAAAATCAAATTATATATTTTATTTTAATTTAATTGCATATGCACAAGTCTCAGTCCAACTTGCTCAATATAATTCGAAAATGCTAATCAGTCCCACCTTGATGTTGACTGGCGATGGCAGCTTTTATTCTCTTACACCGATTCCGTTTTCGAGGTGTATCTAACACTGAGCGCCAACAGGTGCGAGCTATTGACAGCTCAGCATCATTCGTTTATAAACAAACATGCACCAAACAGCTACACCCTGAAAAATTTGGGTGTACGGTAGTACAGATCTGCTGTTACTCCAGAACAAAAACGAACGACATTAAGCGGCTTAAAGCTTTTTTTTTCGACGGCGATCAAGCGTCTGAAAAAGATTCAGCAAAGTTGGACGATCGGGTTCGTTCGACATTCTCTTTTAAAAGCTTTTTCGTTCACCTCACGTTCGGCTCTTCGCATGTATTGGTATGTTCTGAAACGTACCGACCCGACGACGAGCTATCAACCTTCGTCAATGAAAAAGCTTCGTGTTTTTTTCATTCATTTCGCGAGCATTGGCCTGTTCAAAACCGCATTTGCATTGAAAAAAGTGAGACGCGTTTTCCATCTGTGTTTATAAGTGTAAAACTATCAAATAAGAGTAGTGAAATTTGAGAAAGTTGGAGCAAATAACCATGATTACAAAATATTCGACGAGGTATGAGAAGGATTATCCATGGAGCGCGCCGGATCCCAAAGTACCGACTGCTGCTCGATGCACCTGGTGCAATAAATCATTCAAAATTGATACGATGGGAAGGGTGGCCTTTGGGAGTCATGAAAAAAGCAAAGGCCATCAGCATCAGGCTGCAGCACGTCGCTCAAATTTGCCGATCAGCAGCTTATTTGGAACGAACGGTAAGCTCCGAAATAACACGCTTGCGTATACCACAATGCACTGAAACTTGCAACGAAGCTTCGATTATTGTTTTGGTTGCTATCGAATCAAGTTCATCATGCGCTGAGACTTTAATACAAGAATTCTATGAATTGAATACTGATCTTCTATCTCAAATTTCAGATCGTTCAACAAATGATAAAATCATATCTTCAACTTCAAGTTTGACTGTCGATCCCAAGGTGAGTACAACTACCTTGGTCGATCCAATTCAGACAAATGCTTCAACATCATCTGAAGTGGCAGTAGGCGCCAATCAGGCTGTCATGAAAAAGTATTTTTTAAACGATTCGGTGACGTCCGCTGAAATTTTGTGGGCACTTGAAACTGTGGCCACCCATGGTTCATACCGTAGTGCAGGTACCAGTGTTTTCTCTGTTCCAGAAGATGTTTCCTGACAGCCAAATTGCTTCGAAGATGGAGATGAGCCGCACCAAATTTGGTTATTTCATCACACACGGTCTGGCACCTTACTTCAAGAAGATCTTACTGACCAAAGTTGAAAGTTGCTCCGAGGTCGTCCTTGGAAACACTGAACAAAATTGCACAACGGCAGCAACTTGATGTAAGCATTCATTTTTGGGATGAAGACAAGCAGGAAGTACAGACAAGATATGTAGGCTCAGCTTTCCTATCATCGCATCGACACGAGCGATTGACTTGATGAGTGGGATCAAGAAGTGTTTCGAATCATATCCCGGACTGTTGAAAAAAGTTATTCAGGTGTCTATGGATGGCCCCAACGTGAACTGGCGACTCCTTAACGATCTGTCCTCCGAATTGCAAGAGATGCGTGAGAGCAGTTCCTTCAGTCTACTCAGCATTGGCAGTTGCGGTCTTCATGTAGTGCATAATTCGTTCAAGAGCGGTATGCAGAAAACGGACAGGAAGATCGATCAGTTTCTGATGTCGTTGTACTACCTGGTAAAAGATGTTCCCCTAAGACGTGCTGACTTTATAGCAGTTACTGGTAGCACCATATTGCCGCTCAAATTTTGCGGAGTCAGGTGGGTGGAAAACCAGCGAGTAGCAGAACGAGCTCTAGATATGCTTTCTCATCTGCGAACATATGTGAAGGCAGTAAGTTTCAACAAGAGTCAAAACGAAAAGAAAGTCATCCCGATTTCAGGAGAAGCTTTAAGGCGGTTTACAGCTCCAACGCGTTTTCAGTGGTGTCCCAAGCGGTATCGGATCAGCTCTTTGGACCTAAATTGAGCTTTTTTGTAGCTGCAGCGGCAAATGTGGAATTATTTTTGAAAGAATTTCAGGGTGATGCACCACTTGCTCCCTTTTTGTACGATGAACTAACAAACCTAGTTCAAAATGACATGCAGAGAGTGGTGAAGCCAGACCGCCTTAAAAAGAAACCTAAAGCGCTAACGGAGATTGACTTAAATCAGGACAACCTTCTGATGTCTGAACAACAACTCTTGGTGTTTCGCAACGACTGCAAAAACTATTATGTTGCATTTTTGACGAAACTCCTCGATCGTTCGCCACTTCGATATGCTCTAACAAGGTATGTTTCTTGTTTAAGTCCATCTGTCATTTCAAACTCCCCAGATGTAGCCAAGAAACGACTTGAGTTTTGTTTGGAACATATGGTGGAGAAAGATCATTTGGCTGGAGCTGTTGCGGACAAGGTGAAGGATGAATATTCGCAAATTTGCACGATGGCCTTCTTCAAGTTAATTGCTTCAGGATATCGCAGACAGGAGACACGGGTCGATCATTTCTGGTTGAAGGCAATTGCTGATTCTGGAAAACAGCTTCCGAATTTGGCATCGTTTGTCAAGAAGATATTGATAATATCTCACGGAAATGCAGCCCAGGAGCGCGGATTTTCCGTCAACAAGGAGTGCCTGGTGGTAAATCAATCCGAGGAAAGCCTGGTAGCACAACGCACTGTAAATGATGGGATTTTAGCGGCTAGAGATGTGACCAACATTCAAGTGGACAAGCAGCTTATTCAGTACTGTCGAAACGCTCGAGGTTGGTACCAGGAATTTTTGGATGCAAAGCGAGCTGAGGGGATTGCAAGCGAGAAAGAAGCTAGCCGAAAGAGGGAAGCGGACAAAGCAATAAAAGAGCTGGAAATGAAAAAGGCTAAACTTTTGGCAGACGCAGAGAAAGAGGCTGCTGCTTTGGACGTTAAACTAAAAGAGCTGAGCAAGTAAAGTGTAATATTAAGGTTTCTTTTTAAATATAAACTGATTCGACCATTTTGTATGGAACATAAACATATTTTCTTATTATTTTTGTATCTTCATCTGGATTCAGCTATGAGTTTGGTTTTCTGTTTTTATGGATGAAAATTTTCGAAAACTTGCTTAGTTATTTTCATTTTATTTTGTTTGAGGCAAACCGGGAAAATATTAATGTTTTAACCGGGAAAACCGGGAAAAAAACCGGGAATTTCAAAATAAAAATTCTGTGGCCACTCTGGATAAATTTCCTGCAAAAGTGGCAAGAAATTTCACGCTGAATTTAAAGAACCCAAATTCCAGTTAAAATTTTAGTTAAATTTTAGGCGGATCCTAAGTTCTAATTCCGCCTGAAATTTCCCCGAATATTCTGCCTGAAATACACCTAAAAATGGCCTGAAATTTGTATGCTGAATTGCATAGAAATTTCAGATAGAATTCCTGAAAAAAAATCAGTCACATTAAAGGAAAATTCCAGATGGTTCTCTTGGAAAATTGTACGGGGAAATTCATCGAAGTTCAGGAAATTTTCCGGGAAATTTCAGGCAGAATTTAAACAATTCAAGAGAAATTGCAGGCGGTATTTATTTAGGGTTTTTTTATTCTGAGAAATCATAGGTGGCATTGAAATACTTCAGGGAAATTCCATGCGAAATTTGAAAAAGTTCCAGG